TTTATACTTTCCATATACGCTAATGCATGCACACATCTAATTAAATTTATTAGACTTTGTGTCTAGACTAAACTTTTGGGTTGCAGGCCTGGTACCCGGCCCGGTTTGTACTGGGCCTGGTCCCGGTCAGGCACAATTTTTTTATTTATTTAAAATTTGTCTTTCGAATTTATTCATACCCCCACCTTAGACCCCCAAAACCACCCAGCCCCTCCCACCTAGTAGCCAATCAATGGGAAAAAAATTATAAAAAAAATAATTGGGCCTGGACTGGGCCCGACTGGGCTTGGCCAGTCCATAACTTCAGCAGCCCGTAGCCTGCCCCATTTACACAATTACACCTGTTCAGTCCCCCGGTACCGGCCGGGCTGGGCCGGGTCTTGGGTCGGGCGACCCATCCCTGTCCATCCCTAGTAGACGGTAGTAATGTGTTCGATTTTGTTTAACTTGTCGATTTTCGCTCATGCAACACTCTACAAGGACTCATCAAAATATGAGAAATTTTAAGTTCATTTATTCTAAAAGAAAAATGACAATGATTTTGTATATAAGCATTGGACATTCTTTATTTGGAAAGTAAAGTTGCAAATAACTCGAAAAGAGATGTGATTTTCAATGAATAAAACATTGAAAAAATGTGGATACACTATAAAAAAAGTCCTTAGTATTTTTTTATACCTTAGACAAGGAAAACACCATTCCAAAAAGAAAAATTTGTTAGGTACGGGTACACCATATATAACTCTCCTTTTTCATTTCCTCTTCCCACTTTTTTCTCTTCCCTCTCTCTTCACTCTCTTCTCACCTCTTCTCTCCATTTTACACCAATACGAATCCCCTCCCCCCCCCCCCCCCCCCTTTTTTTTACTTCTTTCTTCTTTCTTTCTTTCTTCCTTTCTCCTTCGTCATCATCTTCTTGTTCTTTTTCTTTCCTTCTTCCCTTTTCTTTCTTTTAACGTTTTATTAGCTAATTTTAGAAACAATTCCTTTGAATTAGGGGTGGACTCGGATCGAGCCGCCCGATACTGTTTGGGCCGGGCCGGCCCGATACCCGGTCTTGGGTTTGGTTCGGGCCACCTGGAACCGCTCATATCCCGGTTTGGGCTCGGGCCCCCTAAAACGCGAACCGGCCCGACCGGTCTGTTCCCGGTTCAGGCCTAATTTGTTTTTTTTTTTTTTTTTTTTTTTTTTTGTTTCTACCAGGTTGGGCTGGGTGTTTTGGGGGAGTTTGAGGGGTGGGGGAGTGAAGGGGTGGGGGTTATATATATAAACAGCGCAGTTTCCGTAGGGAATTTTTTTTACTGCTTTCCCGATTGAAATTTTAGCTGAAATTTGGTATGGATAAACTAGACTTGATAAGGAACATGCTCAAAAAAATTTATCGAAAAATTCCACCGCAAAGGTCCCCAAAATCTCTCGGCCGGACGGCGAATCCTGTCAGGCCGGCCTATAATATCTTAATCCACCGGGAAAGTCCAAAACCACAAATAACATCTAGCTCGGAGAAAACAGACAAGCTATAAGGACAAAAAATCTTAGCTCGACTATACGTCCTTGGACCGGATTTAGAATTAGTCACCTCAAAAGAAGCCACCTGATTCGTTAATCCCCACTTGGACAATTGTAAGCCAATTATGATCAATCCAAAATCCTTGTCACTTAATCTCTCCTGACTTTGACTCGAAACAACAACTAAAAGGAAAGACAAATCACCCTGGGCAAAACATATCCAACAGTGGTTTCACCTACCGTCCCTACTAGCGCAATAAACTAAAATAACAACAAAAACGTTTTAAAAAAACATTATTAAACAAGCAGCAACTAGGCAAGCCCAGAAACCTAGGCTCGCCTCCTCCAAGTTTTTTTCTCCATCAAGCACCATTGCACCCGCTTCCTGTTCTTCCATCTCATGAAATTCCAACACTCGTCTCCTCTTCAGCTCCCCAACCCGATTAGCAATACCCACCTCTGGACTCTTAAAAGCTTCTCCTTGCACCAAAGTCATCGATAAGTCTTCCTCGTGAGAACTTCCCATCATGTCTTCCAAGTGGAAGACTTCCACACACCCCTCCCTCCTACCTGCCCCCTCCCAACTTGTGTGCCCGATTGGACCAACCACTTATTTCGTCCTTCCATTCCTATACCTCTGGCACTCACTGCCCGCAGTCAGGGACCGTAATGTTTAACCAAATCCCTATCTCCCTTACTATACTTCAAGGGACAAAAACGATCTGCATGTGTGGCTTCTCATATCTAAGATCTGTCCAAAAGCATTCCTTCTCCTCTTTACCTAGTTTTAATTAATTTCTAGGGCAGAGACTTATTTATATCCAGGCAAACTTCGAGCCGCATGTGTGGCCTCTATATTTCCTCAAACTGTTTTTCTTCGACATTGATTAATGTACGGATGTACTAAAACCACTGTGTCGGACTGTAGGCCATTTGGATTATTTCCGAAATACTTGAGGAAGAAGGTGATCACTGATCTAATAGAGGCCGATTTGAATTAGGAAAAGGCTTGAGCCTTGGAAGATCGAGCTCCACACGCTCGTGCACATAATTGCATGGATCAGGTGGATGTACCCACATTGGCTGAGTGGCACATACAAAGCGTTCGAGGCACCTACACAGCTACACTCGGTCTCTTAGGTAGTTAGGTTGGCGCATGAGACGGGCATCTGATGAAGGTAATTCGCTGGAAGTGCATCTAATGTAGAGACATGAACATATTCATGTCTCCAACGCTCATACCATCCGACTGTCCAAGTAGTATAAATACCCTCTCATGTACTCTGGTAAGGAGGTAGCCAAAATAGCATTGAATGGTATTTTCCTTGGTACATAATTAGTTCTAGAGCGTTTTGCAAGAATTCTTCGTTAATGTGCCATTGTGTTTAGCTTACTAATCCTATCTAACCTTTTAATTGGGAACATTTGAAACGCAAACCTAGGAAAATATCATGTTAGATCTTCAGGCTATTCGAATAAACATCCCAATAGCGTGTGGGAAATTGAATGAAAAACATCCCACCTAGGAATCAAATCAGAGATATAGGATGAAGTAGGAACGCCCGATGACAATTTAGCCAATATGTTCGACGCCATTGTAGCTCACTAGCTCAACTGTTATACTCTGTATATCTTACGTAAGCAGTATATCCTTAGGATGTTTTTAGCTGGACCGTAATTTGCTGGTCTAGTCTGGTCTGATTAGAACTGGTCTGGTCTGGTTTACATGTATTTTTATAACTGTCCAATTTGGTCTGGTCTGGAACATATTACCGTCCAATACCATTTTTTCACAACTGCTCATTTCTTTTCGATTTTTTTACATTGTCAACTCATCTGCCACTGCATCAAATTAGGCAGGAGACTAAAAAATCTTTTAGTTGGGATTGGGAATCCGTTGTCAATCTCATCTCGGTAACTCTGTTTTTCAACATTTTAATCAAATATGTAATTTTTGATTTCGCGTGCTAAATGACGTAATAATAAGAAAAAAATGAGGTTGAAGTTACTTTTCTAGCTCTATTGGTTGAAGTGATTGTAGATGACCATTTTAGTTATTTTTAATACTCCATATAATTTTTTCTTTCTAGTGTTTCTAAACGGGCTCTAAAACCATTTTCTCTCTTTCTGATGGAATTCATAAATTGACAAATCTTATGACTCTCGAACACATTCAAACTAAACATACTCCCACCGATGATGGTGAATATGTGAGTCAAGATCAAAAGCAAGGTCGAGATGGCGGTGAGATTGAGGAAGACGAAGATTCGTGGCTGGATGCGTCGAACAGATACCTGATTGTGTTCTCGGTACTAATGAGTAAAGTGTCAGTTCAGTACCTCAACTTGCAGCGTCTAGAGTAAAGAGTACCTAAAAGAACCCCTCAGAAAGAGATGCTTTTCATTCAATTTCCCACACAAATTTGCACAATACCACACTAATATGAATTTACGAAGACACTAAAAAATGCATCATATAAATCATTAATCATGCATAATTCATAAATCAAAAGAACATTTGGTGTATTTATTTTTCATAGCTAATAGATTGACAATAATTTACTAGCCGTTGTCAGATTGTTTGAAGCCTTGATAGAAGAAGGTGTTCTAGTCGTCGGCTGCTGTTTGGGCTCCTCACTGCTGACCGCTTTGGCTAATGGCGATTTGCAGGCTTGCGGCGCTCTCTAATGTCTACTCTTGTGCGAGACGGTCAATACCTTATCAAACCTTAGTCCTTTACTTAGATAATTGAGTGTAATTGTAACTTGAAAACCACCGTCCAAAGAAGTAATTAGGTTAGTGGGATGAGGTGGTTTATGAATTGGGAGTTTGGGAGACACATGGGCTATACAAAAAGTTAAAGACAATAAATATTGTGGTAATTTTGTAATTAAAAGAATTATAAAGCATAGAGATGTGAAGAGATTTTAACTACTCAAAGAGGCGTGCCGCATGCCTTTTAACATTTGTTTTAAAATTTTTAATTTTTCAACAAAATTAAACATTATGCCTAATTACTTGAGCTTAAATACAAAAAAGAAGCCTACGCCCGCTATATATGAAGACAAATTGTTGGGCCTATTTTTCCATCCTATTTTTTTGGGCCTAGGGCGGTCGCCCCTGTTGCACCCCCCAGGACCGGCCCTGATCGCACGGGTACTATACTAGTTTCTAAGTATCTTGAAAATATAAAATGCTTCAATGTCATGAATGAGTAGACGTCGTAGGATAATATATGTCTATTTTTCAAAAAAGTTGTGTTTTTAATATTTATAAATACACCCCTGAAACTTTTAAAACTTTATAAATGTTAACTTTTAATATTTATAAGTATGGTCCCGTATCCGTATCATACTATTTTTTATTTTGTCGTATCCTCGTTTCCGTTTCCGCTCACCCGTATCCGTGCTACATAGCCCATATAGATAGAATAGATTGGTGGGTCATTGGATTTTCCTTGTTTTATCTGTAAACGTAAGAGCCCACCCATCTTTTTCTTCGTCCGTCTACGTGACCATTTTTTAGTCCGATCCACTAATATTAAAACCTAGGTCTACAAGTGCCTTTAGCCGATGGAATCGGCGAATCGCATAGCAGAGGCTTCATGATAATTTTCAATACAAATTCACCCTCGATCACAAATAGACTTATATTTGCATGTACTCCGATTGGTTCGAACATGCGGTGCATCAATGAGCTTCCCATTGAAAGGTAATTTCCTCTTCGTATTTACTCAATGTATCTCCATTTCTTCGATTGAACTTTCATATTTGAGATTTGATTGGAAGAGTGATGTTAATTAGTAAAACCATTATTATCGTACTTTTCTCCTTCCTTTTTACTTTTACCCCTACGTTAAATAAGGTATGAGAATTAAAGAGATTTAATACGTGCACGTTTTATTCGGTAATATTAATGAAAAACAGTCAAAAAATCGTTAAAAAAATGTGAAAATCTGTATATGTGTATAATACGGCATCAGTTACACAAATTGGGACAAAAAATACGGGGTATTATTTTTAGCATTTAAATGATATACATGACAAAATAACATACTCCCTCCGTCCCACTTTAAGGTTCCCACATGATTTACGATGTTTGACTGACCATAAAGTTAACTGATCTCTGTCATTAATAGAATTATTTTTAGTAAATAAAATTTACATATTCAGAAACTGCATTAAATCCGCTAGAAAACCTGCAAAAAATAATTTAAATTTCATAAATTTTCGATATAAAAAGTAAAAGATTAAGAACAATGCACGTTGACCGGAGAATAGTGTAAGGGAACCTTTAAATGAGACGGAGGGAGTACTTCGTATATAGTAAAAGAAATAAAGGTATAGGCTGTGTAGCAAATCTCATTATTACATAAAAGAATATGTAGTAATTCGTAATTGCATTAGTAGATGACAAAAATAAAAATAGTAATTAAGTCCTAGACATACTTTGCAAACTAATGTCAACAAATAAGACATAATAACAATAGAATGAGACTAAGTGAAAATCATTATCTTTACATGATCGTCAAATAACATTCAATTTAAATTCATCATTTTCATCCAAATGACGGATAACAAATGAGAAAAGTTGTGTGACTGCTGGTGCGCTTATTATTGTTTATGTGTGAAAGTTTCTACTAAAAAATGACAGGTTTAGAAAAACTTTAATGTTGACATGTTTGTTTAGAAAAACATGAGAAATCAAGTAGTATTTTAAATCTTAGTCTTTTAGGATGCTAGCTTTAGCCACTATGCAATTAATTTTAGTATTTAATAATTATATTTTAACTGTACAAAAACATGGGGTCACACACAGGAGTTTCTTTTTTTCTTTTAAACTATTGTTGATCCGCCATGCATTTAATGTTTACATTCGATTGATCCATTCATGTTTTTAATTTTTTTAATAAAATATGAGATGCTAGCTTTAGCCTCCAAGCAATTAATTTTTATATTTGATAATTTTCATTATTGCGTTTAAACTATTGTTGATCTTCTATGCATATAACACGTTCATTCAATTAATCAATTCATGTTTCTATTTTTAGTACGTTACGGGGAAAATATGTTTTATACGGGAAGTAAGAGTTTTTTTCCTTTGTTAACGGACCAACATTATTTTTCGTTTTAAACGTGTTTTTATGTTCAACAAAACGGTACGTCAATCATTCATCATCATCACTATTACCCCCGTGTCGCAAAGGCTCCCACCTACGGTGGGGTAAGGGGGGTCGAATGTACGCAGTCTTACCCCTGTACTAAAGCATAGAGAGACTGTTTCCGAATGTCCCATAGTGAAAATCGCGTCAAAAATTGCATAGACTGACTGACTGTTACTTCATAACAAAGAAGAGCAAACAGTTTAGTGAGCCATTTTGCTTTATTCCATCATATTCCCAAGCCAAAAAATAGTGAGTCTTTGGTACATCAATCATTGTTGTTCAAAAATATTTTTTAGGTGTACGCACTTTTACATATGTCCGTGTAGATCTTTTTATGTCTATACACAGACAAAAAAAACCTACACAAAATTTTTTTAGTTTTGAGTTTCAATTCCTAGCATTTCCGGCAGGTTTATTAATTCGAAAACCATGAATTGTGTTTTAGGAATTAAAGCAAAAACCAATGTACATGCGACTTTTCTGGATTGGACTCTTAAATAGGGTTTATTGCACCAAATCCCATGTGATATGGAAATTCAGCGCATTAGTCCTTAGTGATTTGAAAAATGCGTCAAATCCCTTTGTGTTTTAATTAATCATGCACAAAACCTCTTTTATGAACAAATTTAATTGCCAAATAAAAGAAAAATTATTGATATTTTTGTATGATTTAGAGATTTTGACACATTTACTTGCATATTCAATCAAAATATTAAAAAAATGATTTCCAGATCGTTAAATTTATTGATAATAGGGGTTTTGTGCATGATTAATTAAAACAAAAGGAGATTTGACGTATTTTTCAAATCACAGAGGGCTAATGCGCCGAATTTCGATATCACATGGGGGTTTGGTGCATTAAACCCCTCTTAAATATAACGAAAGTTTTCTAAAATACTCCGTATAAGAAGTCTGTAATCATCTTATCTTATTTTTTGGTCTTGAAATCTCTTCTAGCTTTTGTTTTTTTATAAATTATAATTTCTAAGATGCTTTGTTTTTCAGTGCGATAAATTCTACGGAGTATGTTTCACAATGTTTTCTTTTGGACTGAAATTTGCTGGTCTGATCTGGTCAGGGTTAAGGTTAGGTGCAAGGGTACAGGTACGAGGTATGGTTAGGTGCATCATCAACCGTCACTTGACCAACTTCCGCGAGTTATACGCCGTCTCTCGGGATTGAATACCAGATTCCTTCTAGGTTGCTTGATGAGCGTAACTTCAACTACAGCAAGGTCTCTTGTCATCTCCTCAGGGTTATTAGGAACTTGTATGTTTGCGGATTCGCAAATCATTTCTTCCCCGAGTGTATTCCAATCGTTCTGCTTAAGAACAAGCTTTGGATCCAAAGAATATGCATGCTTGGCGTAGTGATCTACAATGCTTTCTCTTATGGAGTTTAAAACGGACTGATTCGGATATTATTTGACAGAGGGTTAATATCGCCCGTTTTGTACTAGTCACCGTCGCATTGATCCGCACTCAAACTGAATTTTGTGAGTTTGATGACAGAAGTTTCAAAAGAATCCCTGCCCAATTTCAATTTGAATCTGGACCCTAAGGATGTGTAGCTCCCGGGGATTTGTATGAGTTTTGAGCCTTCAAAGAGTTCTGCGTCCTTTTTTTCCTTAAGAAAGTATAGAACCCCATCCGATGGCCTGAAACCCAGTATATATAAGTCGTATGTCCTGAACTACAGTTCCAAAGAACATTGTTCCCAACTCGCCTCTGCCTTTAAAGTGACCCTAAAGTAGCTTAGATCTTCTTTGTGGGGTAAAATAGGTACAGAAACTCTCTTGCTCCCCAAATACAGAAATGCATATATAAGAGGAGAATTTTGAACTATGAAACATCGAATAAACCTATCATAACTATCCGGGATAGAATTGTGTATAGAAAATCGAAAATTGGCAGGAAAAAGCTTAGGTTTAGGCGTTGATCCACTACTTTCTCCCCTAATAAGTTTTTTACTAGAGCTCAATCTCTTACGGGGCTTTTCACGCGGTTGAGGAGGCTTTGGTGTGTTTGAACTCATGGAGGAGCTTCTTCTTGCCAATTTTCGATTTTCTATACACAATTCTACCCCGAATAGTTATGATAGATTTATTCGGCGTTTCATAGTTCAAAATTCTCCTCTTATATATACATTTCAGTATTTGGGAAGCAAGAGAGTTTCTGTACCTGTTTACTTCACAAAGAAGATCTAAGCTACTTTACAGTCACTTTAGAGGCAGAGGCGAGTTGGGGCAGTGTTCTTTGGAACTGTTGTTCAGGACATACGACTTATATATAGTGGGTTTCAGGCCATCGGATGGGGTTCTATACTTTCTTAAGGAAAATAAGAAGGACGCAGAACTCTTTGAAGGCTCAAAACTCATACACATCCTCGAGAGCTACACATCCTTAGGGTCCAGATTCGAATTGAAATTGGGCAGAGATTCTTTTGAAACTTCTGTCGTCAAACTCACAAAATTCAGTTTGAGTGCGGATTAATGCGACGGTGACAGTACAAAACGGGCGATATTAACTCTCTGTCAAATAATATCTGAATCAGTCCGTTTTAACTCCATAAGAGAAAGCATTGTAGATCACTACGCCGAGCATGCATATTCTTTGGATCCAAAGCTTGTTCTTAAGCAGAACGATTGGAATACACTCAGTGAAGAAATGATTTGCGAATCCGCAAACATACAAGTTCCTAATAACCCTGAGGAGATGACAAGAGACCTTGTTGTAGTTGAAGTTGTGCTCATCAAGCAACCTAAAAGGAATCTGGTATTCACTCCCGAGAGACGGCGTATTAGGATACTTGCGAAAGTTGGTTAAGTGACGGTTGATGATGCACCTTGCGTGTATTTATAGAATCAAGAAAAGTAGATTCATCAATGTCACAAAAAGAATCACCATAGCAAAAGGGATCGGACATCACATTCCAAATCCATGGAAGTGGAGATCGATGCCGGTTTTCTTGCAATGTATGCTGCCAAAGATCTTCAGGAATGACGTGCAAGCATTTGATCATTGTCCAAGAGGTTCTTTTGGTTTCCCCGGGTGGCTTGAGTTGAGTCTTGTTTGTGGATTATTGAACGAGATCATGTTACTCAAGTACAGTTCATCACAAGGAGACCATAAAGTGGAGGAGTTTGTGGATGACGTCCCACAAAACAGTTAGTGTGAAGATCAAGGGACAAGAAGTGCTTTTGGTGGTCAGGATCCATGGAGGCTGCACCACTGAGAACAGTTTTCGGGTTTGTAATTGTGTTTTAGGTGGTGGCAACAAGACTACACCTAGCAATAATAAAAACCGGGTGACTCTAATAACCTTTTCTGGGCAGATTCCTCCGTTCTGATATTCAGAACCTTAGCCTAGCCTTTCATCGGATGTGTTTTGGCACCAAAAGAGTGTTCAGAGTCGGTAAAGAGGGTGTCAGTTTGGTGATGGTGTTTTTCTCTCTAACACGAGTGGACTTGCACAAACTGAAAAGGTACAAACTATAAAAATGTTTGTTCATGCATATAAGCAGTAGCCACTAGAGGTTATCTCATACAAATGCAGCAATTCTTGACGGTTTAATTTTTTTAAAAGGATGTTATTGTTTAGTGTCTGACATGTACATTGGTTCAAGCCTGTTTGTTAGTACATCAGGCTATTCATGTTAGAAATTTGTAGTGTACACAATAATCTAAGTTTGGTTTAGATTTTTAAGTACACATACATATAATGAAAGCATTTTTCTTTTAAAATATATTTCTATTTATTTGCTCCGGAATAAACAACGTATATCATGCTTTGCCGGGTGTTCTCCCTTGTCAAAAACCCTATAACCACCACCGTCAAAGGTTTAGTGTTGTTTCCTCAGCAAAGCTAGGGTTTGTGTCAACTCCCAAAGTTCATCTAGGGTTTCTCTTTTGTTTTTGCTTGTATTTTCATTCAACAACCCACTGGTTTGGGATTTTCTTTTGCGTATTCAGGAAGTTGTCCCTCCCTCGAAAGGTGAATCTGTCGGCTCAACAAGTAACAAACATCTTAATAACGGCAGGTTTCTGATTCGTAATCTCAATCCCCGTTGGAGAAATGCATGTCCCCACCCTCATATTTGTCATCAATACTCTCCTTTGTGAGGTTATTTTGTTTTTTCCTAGATATTTGTTGTAGGATAAATACCTAATGAAGCTCTTGTTCTGTGAAGCAATAGATGGGCCCTTGATTGAGGAATATACTTTCTTCTACTTTTTCATGTGCTTGTGCATTCAGAGGCTAGTAATCACTACCAGGTATTTAGAAATTATTTGGTTGATATGCCATTATGCCATAAAAGAAAGAAATTTAGCTTGCTCGTCCATCATCTAACATTCTGAGTAAATTTGACTGAAAACAGAATATGATGCTTTTGCAGCCTGATGATTGCAGCCTCGATCGCTGGACCAAAAGCCTTTGCAAAAATCTTGTACTAGCTCTCAAGGTAAGAACCGTGGATTGGAGTGGGGAGATAATTGGATAAGTAATTTATGATAAATAATTTTCTCTAAAATGGTAACCTGGATAGGTCAAGGGTGTTCTTGGCCCCTTGAAGATGATAATGATGACAATCATAGTGACAATTTTATCCAATAATAGTCATATTTAAATAAATATAATTGCACACATCAATCAGTTTATCATCATAATAGCATAGAGTTTTTGCTGATTCACATTAGTGTAGAAGTGCATTAAAAAAGAAGGTTGAGAAGACTTACCAAAGGCGCTGCTGTAAGGAGCTTGAATGTGTTGATGAACTCAAAAAATGGGTGCAGCTTCAGCCCAACTTATTGCAATTGTCTCTAAATCACCCTTAACGGAAACAAAACCAGTATAAAAAAACACACTGTATTAAGATCTTTTGTTTTTGAAGAAGTGAAGATAAATACATTAAAACCGTTTTAAAAAATAGGAACCGAACCATTAACAAATAACTAATGAATTTCGGAACCGAACCGGGTCATAACGGTCCGGTTCGGTTCTCCGGTTCTTCGTTCCAAAGTCCCAGCCCTAGCATGGTGGTGGCGGTGGTGATGAGGAATTATGACGAAACAGCGTTCTTAAGTGTTGACAGTAGTCATATAAAATTCTGAGGGAAATAGTCTACAGATTTGTTACATTGTTAACATTTCAAATATGGACTTCCAGTAAACTGACTTCGTTGTTGTATTGTGACCTGGATATGTTCCCTTTCTTTATATCCCACATGTATGCTTGCTTTATTTGTATTTTAAAATGTCTAATTCATCACTATTTAAATACCCGCACTTTCTACGTTTTAATACCATTTTCCCACTTCATACTATTTCAGGGTGGCATTACCTTTTTTGTGGTGGGGATTTTTTTTTTTCATATGCTGATATGTTTAAATGGATTTCTTATAGAACGGTAAATCCTAATTTCTTGAACAGCATTAGCTACTCACCTCTATTTCTTTCTTTTAATCTTGTTTGCAGTTTTTCTTATATTACAGGATATTATTCCTCATGGGTTTCTCTAGGCAGAAAGCATCTTGGATGTGAACAGTCATACTTTGCACGGTTTCACTTTAGACAATAACATACATTCGTGGTTTCAATCATTCGTGTCCATTCAAGGGTGGTATTGGAGTGGTTCATTCGGCAATGATCATTTTATGCATTGCTTCAAAAAAGCTCATGTTTGACTGTAGCATTAGTAATTTAGCCCCATGAGTTCCCCTAATGTAGCATTAGGGGCAGTTTTACTTTCTCCCCTAATAAGTTTTTTACGAGAACTCATGGGACTAAATTACTAATGCTACAGACCTACAGTCAAACTAGAGAGCTCAATCTTTTACGGGGCTTTTCACGCGGTTGAGGAGGCTTTGGTGTGTTTGAACTCATGGAGGAGCTTCTGCTGCGCACTGCAATGGCCGTTGGGAGCTTTCTCGTGCGTGTGGGAAGGTACTACTTCCATATTAGGAGCTTCTCGTGCAATTGCTAGATTCTCGTGCAATGACCATTAGGAGCTTCTACTTCCAGATTTTTTTTTCTCCCTTCAAGGCACTCAAGCGTGGATCAAAGGCCAAGGCACTCTATTTACATAATACCCTTTCTTCTATTGAAATCTCATTTTTATCTACAAATTCGATTTGTGCAGAAAGAAATCTTGATTTGTCTTAGTGTCATTACGGCCAGATTTTTTCATGTTATCTTCAAAATGATTTGGAAAGCTCTAGTTTAAGGATTTGAGTCACACATCTCATAAAATTAATTTTAGTTTTTATTTTGTTTGTGCCAATTCAATTTTAATTTTAGTTTTTAATTTAAGACATAGGGAACTCTAATTGTTTTATTATATTTAGCTAGAGTTTTAAAGAAGAGTTTATCAGAACACATTATTAAGGTGTCATGTTTATTTTAAGGGAAAATTCCCGAAATAGGACCAACAAGTTTGAAAATTCCAAAATAAGACTGTCATGTTTTTGTTCCCAAAATAGGAGTAATTCCTGTCAATTGTGGAAAATACTCTCATGTTTGAAATCTGGTACTGTCAAAACATGGCAATAATTAGTCATATTTTGAGAATAAAAACATGGCAGTCCTATTTTCAAACCTTTTTAGTCCTATGTCAGGTAATATTCTCTTATTTTAATAAATTGAGTTCGGCTTTCACAGGTAAGTTGATTGCCACCGGTATATGTTAGTTTAACCAAAAGAAAGAAAGAAATTGGGTTGATTCTTAAATAAATCATTTTAGATTATTTGTTATTATTAAGTGAGTTTGGTGAATAATTTGATTACTTGTTTTATTTGTCGTATTGAGTGATGTTATTATCTGTCATAAATTATTGATGTATTTTATTTTCAAATTTAAGTGATATTTTCAATCAAATGTCACTATGAAAAAAACTATTTTTAAAAAAGTGAAAGATTATATGGTATGTACTCATGAACAAGTTCTGCAAAGTTATCATAGATTAGTGTTTTAGAAAGTCCTGTAGGTTCAATGGGTCACTCCTCTGGCAGGGGTGGACTCGGGCCGGTTCGGGCCCGGTTCGGGCCTGGGCCCGGCCGGGCCTCGGGCCAAAAATATAGGGCCCGGGCCCGAACCGCCGGGGGGCGGTTCCGGTTCCGGTTCCGGGCCAAACCGGGCCGGGCCGGGCCGGGCCGAACCGCCCAACTTAATTTTTTTTTTTTTTTTGTTCTCATTTTTAACCCCCTACCCCTCCCCCTCAACCCCAAACTACCCCAAACCACCTCAAATGGCCCAAAATACCTAATCCAACCCAAAATTTAAAAAAATTTCAAAAAAAAAAAAAAAAAAATTTAAAATCCGGCCCGGACCGGGCCCGAACCGGCCGGGCCGGTTCGCCAAAATCAGGGCCCGAGCCCGAACCGGTATCCCTCCGGGCCGGGTGGCCCGAACCGGTTGACCAACCGGTTGACCGGGCCGGTCCGGGCCCGCACAGTAGCGGGCCGGTCCGGTTCCGGGCCGGTTGGCCCGGCCCGAGTCCACCCCTATCCTCTGGGCTGTCAAATTGGCGGCATTGGGTACATATCTCGGTCTCGAAGTAAAAAAAAAAATTAGCCACAAAGTTTACATAAAAATAATGAGTTTAGTTTTAAAATGTTTTACAAAATCTTTCTAGAAAATAATTGTAAAATGGGAAAAAGAAGTGTATGTCAAAATATTATTAATTCGTGCCAAAACTCCTATATTTCTGTAATGTTTGTATTAAATATTGAGATTCAATATTACTTATTAAATCTTGTGATTCAATAGTTCTGTCATGTAGTTTCAATTCTAAATATGAAAGATTCAATTATATACACTGATTTAGATATCATTAGTGTGCTTGGGAACTCTCGAAAATTAAGAAAAAGTAAGATCAGTCCGAAAAAGTAAGAATTGAAATTATACAAAAGGGGGAATAAGGGTCAGTTTGGTCCTCGAAGTTGCAAAAAGGGGGGTCGAATAAGTCTTTATATAGAAGATTTTGTCCGGACGTGCCATTTGAGGTGGCTCCCGGTGGAATTTTTTAATTTAAATTTTTTTAGAATCTTACTCATTATGTCTAGTTTACTCATACCAAATTTCAGATAAAAATTCAATTGGGAAGACATTCAAATGAATTCTTGAAGATAACTGTGCTGTTAAAAGCGCAGTTATCTTCAAGAATTCATTTGAATGTCTCCCCGATTGAATTTTTAGCTGAAATTTGATATGAGTAAACTAGACTTGATGAATAAGATGCTCAAAAAATTTAATCAAAAAATTCTACCGGGAGCCACCTCAAATGGCACGTCCGGACATAATCTTCTATATAAGGACTTATTTGACTCCTTTTTTGCAACTTCGAGGACCAAACTGACCGTTTACTCGATACAAATGGGATAAAATGATAAGTTAGTGTAGTTCAAATTAGGAAAGTGTTCATATTTTTGGAATAATTCAAAAATGAAAGTGTGTCTAGGGAGTAGGCAGTGACAAATATTTATGTGTTTTCAGTGTTAGGATATATGTATTCACTTATGTAAATGTCTCCCGTATGTCCGTAACCTACTCATCATTAATAATATTCATGCGGTAATCCCTTCAGTATACTTGGGAGTTTTGAGAGTTGAAATGTATACAGGACGTATGAAATACTTCTCATTTTGATCATCTGTGTATTCAATCTTTCCCCAGACATCCTAAACAAGACATAAGTTACTTCCGAAGTTTTGAAAAGTGTAACTGTAAAATCTTATAATGCTCAAATTATGCTTAAATAGTTTTTACACACATAGAAGGAACAAGTCATTTGCCACACATGCCATTAGTGTGCCCCTACAAACTCTTTCACCACCAGACATTATGATACGCTTATCTCATATCTGTTACTCCCTCCGGTTTTTATTAAACTTCACACTTTGACTTCACACAAAATAAGGAAAGAAATTTGACTTTACTGTAGAGTACACTGTTGAGGCACTGTTTGACACTGTTTGGCACTGTAGAGACATTGTTTAGCACTGTTGAGACACTGTTTGGCACTGTTTGACACTGTTTTGATGTAGATTTCTTTGCCAAAAAAGGAAATAAGGAAGTGTGAAGTTTATTTTAGACCGTTCCAAAAAGGAAAGTGTGAAGTTTATTAAAAACCGGAGGGAGTACAATATATGACTCAGTTGCAGCTTGAAAGTTGAAATGTGAATTGTGATAAATGTGTGGTACAACATGCAATGGGAGACAAACTATATTGCAAGTGCATATAAAGTATCTTTCATCTGATGAAACAGTAAGCTGGACTGCGATGCCACTGCAAAACAAAAAAACGCCTTTTAACAAAATATCAGAACAGCCGGAGTCCAACTAACATGGGTTAATTAGTGATCAATGATATAGTATTGATTAGTTGCTCTGTGATTAGCATGTAGGAAAAAATAGACCTTTGGAGTGGCTTCTGCTTCCTAAGATCCCAAACGCCGAGTTAAAAAGTAAAAGAGAAAAGCTGCTCCTCGTTGTTCCACCATAAATGGATAGTTAACTACTGTGATCTCTTGTTGGTGACCTGTTGACCCATTTAATGATGGGATGCCAACATTGAACCTTGCTGTTCCAGGATACAAATGAAATTTCACTTTGGGTCGAGGATCCGCTATCCAGTTACCTTTAGACAAAACACCGTTTACAATGATTAGCTAAATATACTTATTGGAGAATCAGGGATGACATTTGCATATCACATCATAAGAAATTTTACTTTCTTGAGGTAAATATTCAAATCCAGGAAAACAATCCTTGTGCCAACAAAGGCTATAGAGAAGAAAATATCACATCCCCTATGACAGATGATGCAGGCATTGCTGGGGGTTTTTGACAATCACACCAATGTGTTGCCTTTAAAACAAATAAATTAGCAACCCATCATATGAGAGCATAGCAAAAAGAAATCAAATTATGAATCAAGGTTCTACGCTTGTATGATGTTTTAGCCCAAACGAAACTCCATAGACCATATATATTTTTAGACACACCCATGAAGCTTGCTCCTAAATATTAGTTAGCCCGCATTTTCCTTCAATACTCTGCTCAGTAGTAACCCTACGACATAAAAAACCTTCAAGAAATTTTGGTTGAAAAGCTTAACAATATCTTTAAAAAAACTTATTTCAAGTACTTAAGTAAATTCCATCTAAGGCTAAGATGCTGATGTTGTAGTAAATTCCAGCTATATATCTTATAGACTTAAAAAGCACTCAATTTTTCATTCTAATTCTTATTGGTAAGCTAAAAAATCTCAAACAAATTAAAACCCAAAAATAACAACATTTTTTTGTTAATAGGAAACAAAAATGTGGTTAAGTTTTATTGGAAAATGGCTTGAACTATGGGTGATTCCAATTTAATCAACACATTTGGCCTCAACTCACATTTCCTTTGTTGCAGAAGCCACTCCAGAGTGTTTTGAAGCTAATGGGAATTCAGCCATTAACCTAATACCATTTAAAGACTCATCTTCGGGTAAATAATCAGCACCCTTTATTGTTATTCCTTGGCATTAAGTTTTCCCAAATCCCACATGCCAGATGTCAGATGCATCCTATGCCATCGCATACGCAATTATTTCACCATATTAACAATCATAAACACTAAGGGCCTGTTTACTAACAGAAATATTTTCTGTTTTTCCAAAAATTTGGAAAACTGGAAATAGAAAAGTCAGAAAACATGTTTACCAAACTATTTTCCAGAAGAAAAAAAAACGAAACAAGTTTCACTTTTTACGCGTGAATTGGAAAACTGGCTTATATGCGTTTTCTAGTTTTAGAAAACGCGGTGCTACAGTACTTTCATTTACTCACTCGCCTTGTTCCTCCTACCACCATTACTGCCTTTCATTTCTCCCTTACCTTCCTCCGCCTAACTTCATTACTCGGCTTCAACTAATCTCACCTTCCCCTCCTTTCCAGCTTAAAAGTCGGACGTGAGCTTCGCCAACCACTGCACCTCTTCTCCAACATGCCACAGCTTCGGATTCGTGTGAGCAGAGCTTCCCTACCTCTTCCTCACATGGCTACCACGCTCCAGGTTCACAAATCAGGCCATCGCTGCTAGGAGCTGAGCCCCAACATCACGACATCTCCCTGTTCTTCCGTCGGCTCCTGTTCTGCCAACGATTTGAAGGTAAGCTCTGAAACTCAATAAATTTTTCAACTTTGCTGATTCAAAATTGAAATCCGATTTGAAATTTGAAAACCAATTCAGTTTCTTAAGCCTGAACTTCATGGTTAGGGTTTGTTTTTCTTAATTTTACTTTTAGCTTTGTAGCTTCGTTTGGAATCCTTAAAACCTATTCACTATTAGCTTCAGTTTTTTTCATTTCTGGTAATTATATTGTTGCTGTACTAGTTTATGATTAAGGCTTAGTTGAGTTTGTAATTTATATACTACGTATATACTTTTGTATTCTTGTTTTATGCTTTGAGATGTGTAGTCCAGGTTAGTAGTTACTTCATATTTTATTTTGTACTTTATTTGTGTAGTTTAGTTAGTTTTATCAAGTTTGTAGTTAATGGAGATTGGAAAAAAAATATGTTGTAGTTAAATGGCATTTTCACTTTACATTTTTGAAAAATCGGATTCAATTGGTAACCTGGAAGCAATTGAAGCCTGAAACTCATACCCATGTGAGTGTCCTACAATTTTAAAGGCCAATTGAGCTTAATTTTTTTCCCTGGGTTTTTCTGCTGCAGCAGTCTTGGGTCAATAGTTATTTGATTTTTTTGACACTTGATTGGTTTGATGTATATAAATAAGTTGGAATTGAATGTGATCCAAATTACTTTCATTTTTCCTTTTTTTGTGTCTGAGTTTGTTGCTTAAGAAGTATGGGCTAATGCCTGGTTTAGATTTTAATGATTTTTTTTGGCATTGATTATGGTTCACGTAGTAGTCAAATAAAATTAACATTTCGCATATGATTTACGTTGTGACCAAGCTATCAAAATTTTAGTTTGTATGAGCATGCTACGAAATAAATTAAATGATCAATCAGCGCAATACATGTGTTAAAATATTGGTAAAAATAACTGAATGCCCATGCCCGTGCAGACTCTCATCTTCCTGGGAGTTGAGTAATATGAGCGCATAGCATCACGCTACGCAAAGATTTTAATGATTGGATGGTTTTATTTCTTATGCTAATCTGTTCTCTTTGAAAAACAGTTTTGATATAAGCATCTAGTTCACATTAGCATTATATTGCTAGTTGCAGTTGATAGTATTTCTAATAAGATTGAAAAGAGTGGCATGATTCAATGAAATCTTGTTAAGCAGGGTTCAATGAAATCTTGTTAACATAATGACTTTGTTTTTTTGATAAATTTAGCTAAGTGGTTTTAAGCAGTGGCATGTCATTTGTTCCATATCTGTACGGATCAGAGTATGATTCAGACAACTTTTATCTTATTAATAGTTAGTTACTGGCTGGGATAAAGAAATGGGCAATTAGGGATCAGAGTATAATCCAGACAACTTTTATCTTATTAATAGTTACTGGTTGGGATAAAGAAATGGGCAATTAGGCCACTTTTATGTAATTAATTTATGCAATTAGGCCATTTCTTTTCCTGGTATCAAACTTTCCAGTTTTTTTACTTCATTTCATGTGTACCCTGTATCCCATAATATGTAGATGAGTGTCAATATTTGTTGTGGTAGATGAGTTTAACACAAGAAAAAGATGATGCCATATGGCCCGATGAAAAAGAGACTTTATTTTTTACTGTGCTATATGAACGGGTAAAAAAAGACCCTACTGGGAATCCAACATTTAAGTCCCGAGACTGGAATGATATGGATAGTGAGATGTTGGTCCGAGGCCATTATCAATATGGTAGTGACAGGCTACGGGGAAAGTACAATAAGATGAAGCTCATACATAGACAATTTGGTCAGTTATTGGCTCATACTGGAGTTACATATGATTCCAGTCGGAATGTTGTTCATGCCACAGAGGAAGTATGGCAGAAATTTAACAAGGTGAATGTTTAATTTAATTAATTTATGACATTTGAATCATATTTAATTTTTTAGAATCATATTTTACTAAGCTCTTTAATTGACATATGCAGATGAACAAGGGCTTTAGGACCCTTAAAAGGAAGGGTTGCAAGAACTATCTGTTAATGAATCTTGTTTTTGGGAAAGGGAGTGCAAGTGGAGGACTTGCTACTCCTTCCACCCAAGTACCGACTCACTCGGATGAGGAAAGAAGGAATGAGGACATATTCTTACATGGTGAGGGGGGCATGAGCTCAGAGAGATCACACTCAAAAGGGAAACGCAAAGCTGAGGAAGCGATGGGATCAAGCAATAAGGACTGGAAAAGTGTTTTGGCTAATGCGGTCCACACATACACGACAACAATGAGTGAAAAAGAGAAGAGACGTCGATCTCGAGATGAAGATGTTAGTACCACATCTACAGGTGCAGCGGGAAATTTTTCTATGACTCGATGCGTTGAAGTCATAAATGCCATGCCGAATGTGTCAACCCGTGCTTATAATGATTCCATTGATGCACTTACAGATGTTGTCCGACGTGAGGCCTTTATGGCTATGCCCGCAGACCGTCAATTGGATTGGGTTATGAGATTTGATTCTAACTAGTTAAACTGTGTTTGGATTTCGTAATCCATGTTATATGTTTTATGTATGTGCACTTGAACACTTTGGTAGAACAATATTTATGTATGTAAGTCTGCAAGTCCTTAGGGTCTATTCACATGTTGCCAGCCTTTCAGGTTTCTATTCACATAGTGCCTTCTACTCTTACTTCTCTGATCTTTACTATCTAGTATAAGTGAATTGCCTGCGAATGAACTCAATGTGCTCGTTTGGATGGTTTTGGTGGGATAAAAAACTTGGCGGAAGCTCCTCCTCGTGGTAGAAAACAAAACCATAGAACCTGCACTTCTTTTTGGTGTATATGAGTGTATCAGGTCCTTGTTACACGTGGTTTCCTTTATATTTATAATTGTCAGTTTAAAGAATCCCTTGCATTAAAAATAAGAAACTGATGTTGTGACACAGGGAATAGTATTATGAGTTATCTATTGCTTTGCTTAAAAATAATATGCTAATGAAAATACAGAACACTATCACAAAAAAATTGAAAATACAGAACACTAGGTAATGATGACCAGAAACTAGAAAATTGATGTAAAAGTATATCATCATCTTGTCATTGTGCAGGGTAATTAATGAAAGTGTTTGTTTGTCTATGTATTGGTTGTGGAAATTATTGAAAGTGTTTGTTACGTATTGTGTGATTTTGCATTTGTCTTGCACCTGAAGCATGAATGTTATACGTTATTGCAGATACACAATGTCACATAATGGCAGTGGTGATGATCTTTCAGACTCTGCAAGTGATGAAGATGATGAGTTCGGGGCCCTACTGTTAATGGCTACATGTGTTTTAGTTGATGTCGAAAGAATTCCATGTCGAACGTCTATACTCACAGGTAACGCTTATATCGATGAGTTAATGACAGGTCATCCACTAAAATGCTATGAAAATTTTAGGATGAACCCACCCGTATTCCTGCGTTTATGCAATTATGTGAAAGGCTTAAGAATTTGGATGTTCTACACGATTCAAGGTATTTAAGGGCTAAAGAGCAATTAGGAATAGGTCTTTTAGTGTTATGTACAGGGGCGGGGGAACGTACATGTGCAGAGCGTTTTCAGCATTCAATGCGAACTGTTCACTTGTGTGTGAAGCGTGTGGTGAGAGCACTTGCACGATTGGGCAATGAAGTTATAAAGCCGGTTAATGGGGGCCCTGTTCAACCAGAAATTTTAGAAAAACCGAAATGGTATCCTTATTTTGAGGTATGTGTAAGTTTAATTTAAATAACTCATACTAATAACGGTGTACAAATTTTGTAGAAATGTGTAGGTGCCATTGATAGTACTCATGTAGCAGCCTCAGCACCCGCTTCCAAACAAAAGACGTTTCGCGGTAGACATTCAACGGTCACTCAAAATGTCATGGCAGCTTGTAGTCATGACATGTTGTTTACGTACGTATACGCGGGTTGGGAGGGAACGTGCAATGACTCTCGAGTATTTTTAGATGCAATTACAAGAAGCGAAAACGGGTTGCCCATGCCTCCTATCGGTAATACAATAATTATGCAATTTGTGTTAATAAAGTCACTATTTTACGAAAATGGGTTCCCATTGTAGTTGTTATTGACTTCATTATAGGTTATTACTATGTGGTTGATGCTGGCTATCCAAATGTTCCGGGGTTTTTAGCCCCATACCGTGGAGAGAGTTATCACTTAAAGGATTTTCGAGGCAGAGGACGAATCCGCAATAAGCAAGCTTTATTTAACTGCCGACACTTGTCCTTGCGTAATGTCATCGAGAGGTGTTTCGGAGTACTGAAGGAAAGATTTCCCATTCTAGACATGTCACGTGGTTACCCAGTGAGAAGACAAGTTCAAATTCTCATAGCTTGTTGCGCATTGCATAACTTCATTCGCATGCAAGACAGAAACGATGATTTGTTTTTGGAGTACGAGGAAGATGATATTATATTTAACACGGAGGCAAGTACAAGTGAAAATGGATCACTTGAATTTGATATGTCTCAACAGCAACAAATGCACGAAATTCGAGAAAGTATTGCAAATGCAATATGGGATGATTATAATGTTTGAGATGTCCACGTACAACTTGTTCTGATTAACATGTCACTTATTGAACTTTCAATGTTGGGGAACCTTTATGTTATTTTTTGTTGTGTTATTTCAAATGTTTGTGAATGTGCATTTCTTTTTCCAAATATTAAGTCAACGTTGTTTGCTAAAAACGAAATGAAAAACTGAAAACCATAGGTAAACATGTTTTCTGATTTGGAAAACAAAAAATTGGAAAATGAAAACAGAAAACTGAAGGCTTGAAAACAGAAAATGAAAACAGAAAAATATTTCCGTCAGTAAACGGGCCCTAACTTTTCTTTCTTGTGAGGTGCATAAACTGTAGGATCATATATTTTACCATGCGGGAGATATTTTGCTCCTCAAAATACAGTATTACCGTCTTGTGAAAATCACAAAAGCAAGCTGAGGAATAGAGGTGCCCTAAGTAGAAATCTACCACCAACATGACCCAGCCCTTAAACTTTGTTTATGGAGAGTTACTATGGTAGTTTTTCTGGCTAAAATGACATTTATTTGGGAATGGAGGGAGTATGTCGTTAACCTCATGACTTTTATTGAAACAAATATTCTTCAACATAGAATCAACAGGACACCCAGAAACAGACTACTAATTCTACTAAAGGGGAACATCAGCTACACACTACTACCTCATGACCTCAGAGGGAGTGAGGGGCTAAATACATGTTGTTATGAGTAGTAAAGAATGGCATGAATATCACTTTTTTAGCTTGCAAATAAATTGAGACAGACTGAATGCACGAGGGAATCAAATAGAGTTGACTGATGTTCTCTCAGGATCAAAGTGGTGTAAAATGTAATCTCTCCACATCATTTTTTTTTATACATCGGAAATGAATCTCTCTACATCATAGTCATGAGAAACATAGGAAATATTGTTTTACTTGATACGTAGTAATAGTCAATTGTACCATGCTGATTTTCGAGAAAATAAATTCTTCCACTTAATCCTGATATCACTGCCACCCTTAAAAACTAAGAACATAAAAAACCTAGATTCACATGCATGGAGCAAAAAACTCGTGGAATGTGTATTCTAAATGAATATTGAACCCAATAAAACCATAAAAGAGCATTTACCACTGGAATATGAGGAAAAGTGGAGAAGCCATAAGGCAGTTCAATTTTATCAAGGTGGTGAGCAGTCCATGACCCGCCCAAGTTGGTGCTCAATTCTTCATCCTCTGCTGGGTCCTATGCATCATCTGAATGTCCAAAAAGCATAACAGAATGACCAGATTTTTCTGTACTTTCCCCAAATTAAAATCCTTTATGATCTATCACATGTTTTGCTTGTATCCGTTCTCTTTTCACACAAAAACGTGTTACTTGGAGTGATACAAGTCAGAATATTTTGAGAATTAAAGAAAGCCAAATTTGTCACAGTTCTTCTCAGAAAAATCTTAATATCAAATTCAAAAACCCAGTAAAAAGAAAACAGCAACCTTTTGCCAAAAAGAAAATATAAAACCACAACCTTATCCATTTTACAGTGACCAGAACAGATTCAGTTCCTAAACTGATCCCAATAAATTAAAAATATAATAGAAACACAATGTTTCTTCAGATAAGAAACAAAGCAGATATAAAAATGCAAGGCGAATGAAAAAGGGCAGTGCAAATGGACTTTAGTTTTAGTTATCTTATCTACTCATCCAAACAACACTATATCCAGACATGGTTTGTTTTGTTTTCAATATCTGCATACCTCTTAGGAAGTATCAAACGTTGAAATTTCAAACGTTGAATGTCTTTAATTTGTATTTATATCTGCATACACTATATCCAGAAATGGACTTTAATTTGTATTGTAATTTCAAACGTTGAATGTCTTTTTGGCACAAACTCAATCGTGATTTGTAAGAAATTTTTTAAAGACTAGGAACCGTTAAATGACAAGAACCGAACCTTTAAGAATGGTTCGGTGCCTTATCGGTTCTATAAAATAATTTATAAGAACCGAACCGTTACTAAAATTTCATATTTTCAAACGGTTCCACAAAGTTTGCCTAGGAACCGAACCGGTCCCAGGCCTACACCATGCATCTTAGTTTTGGCTATTTCGGAGTGAGAAGCATGGAGGTTATGACATTAACACTGTTAAATCATGCAAATCCTGAATCATCATCATATAAAGTATAAATCTCACCTCAACTTAAAACTAAAGCTTACCTAATATTTGAGGTGATTCATAGCTCACATTAACCCACATGAAACCACCGGTAAGTAAACTACCACAATAAGCAATGGCATAATTTGTAGTATTGGGGGTCTGAATTTGTGTGGCCCCTATTTAAATAAACTACCATAATAAACTGTGAGGTAATTGGAATTGAAGCCACCTGAGAACAAGTTGTATGCTCTTGTCCAACTTGTTCACTTGTGATCTTGAACAGTTGCTCAATCAAAAACCATTTTTTAAAATGGTTTTAATGTATTTATCTTCACTTCTTCAAAAACAAAAGATCTTAATATTTTTTTTACTGGTTTTGTTTCCGTTAATGGTGATTTAGAGGCAATTGCAATAAGTTGGGATGAAGCTGCACCCATTCTTTGAGTTCATCAACACATTCCAAGCTCCTTACAGCAGCGGCTTTGGTAGGAAAGTAAGTCTTTTCAACCTTCTTCTTTAATATTTTCAAAAACGTGTTACTTAGAGTGATACAAGTCAGAATATTTTGAGATTTAAAGTAAGCCAAATTTGTCACAGTTCTTCTCAGAAACATCTTAATATCAAATTCAAAAACCTAGTAAAAAGAAAACAACAACCTTATCCATTATACAGTGACCAGAACAAATTCAGTTCCTTAACTGAGCACAAATAAATAAATTAAAAAATAATAAAACACAATATTTCTTCAGATAAGAAACAAAGTAGATGTAAAAATGCAAGGCGAATGAAAAAGAGGAGTGGAAATGGACTATAGTTTTAGTTTTCTACTCATCCAAACAACACTTTCTATATCCAGACATGGCTTGTTTTGTTTTTAAAAAGTGCATACCTCTGAGAAAGTATCAATAAACTAAGTAGCAATGGTCATCAGTGGCCAGCAGTTAGAGCAAACATGAGCATTTTGAAGCAATGCTTAAAATGATCATTGCTGAATGGACACTAATTTCTTAATTAATTTCACATCCTTTTATATTACTTCATTAAGCATCTCAAAACACTATTTTTTTAAATATTTCTCATTCAACATGGTATGAAATAAGTATTTGTAAATTTTAAAAAATGAGCTTTTTGAAGCAATTCTTTTAAAAATCAAATATTGGGTACCATCCCAAACATATATAGAAAGTGTCTCGTTCAGTATCAACTGGTTTTGAAGCCCGTGCGATGCACGAGCAGTATATAATGTAGCTAATTGTAAATTTGATATTTTCAAAACCATATATAATTTAATGTGATGCAAAAGGAAAATAAACTCAGTCTAATATAAAGTCGTTTGATAATACTAAAATTGGTCGAATTATCTGACTCTATTGTAATGAATTAAATCTAACTGATTGGGCTAAATTGACGGAATCTCCCAAATTATGAAAAGGTAAAATAAAATATACTGCGTATTACATATATAATTAATAAAATAAATTAAAATTTATATGAAAAATATTAAAATGGACTTCTATATACTCCGTAGTTGATCAATAAAATTTATATGAAAATATATATATAAACATATATATTTATATGTATGATATGAATCCATCCTAATAAAGGTAAGCTACTTGATCATATATATACTCCGTAGTTGATCAATAAAGTTTCAAGTGTTTTCATATATGAACGTCTAATAATATATATCAATTTCATTTTTAAGTTAAAGTATTGACTGAAGTTACTGCAGATGACCATTTTAACTATTTTTTCATTAATATTTTTTTATTTTATTTAAAAATATATTATAATTTTTTTTTCCATAAATCAGCATAATCAGCCAACACAGTCACTTCAGCCAGAACTTCATAAATAATTGATATAAAATATAGTCTATGTGTACGGATGACTATTTATTGTTGCGGTTCCAATTGTTTAATTTAATAACTATCCAAATCATGATTTATTAATATATAGTATATAGATGCTTGATGGGGAGCTTATTGTACTTAACTGCATCAAGGCTTGATCTTGTGTTCTCAGTCACCCTACTCTCTAGGTTCATGCATTCTCCAAGTGAGCAACACTTCAAAGCAGCAAAAAGGATTCTGAGGTATGTGCAAGGCACTGCTGATTATGGAGTGTTTTATGGCAAGAATCCAGTTAATCTTATGGGATTCACTGATAGTGATCTTGTTGGCTCTGATGAAGCAAGCAGAAGCGTGTTTGGTTACTGTTTCTCTCTTGGTTCAGACATGATCAGTTGGAAGTCAAAGAAGCAATCTGTCATTGCTCAATCAACTGCTGAAGCTGAATACATTGCAGCTTCCAAAGGAGGAAATCAGCAGTTTGGCTAAGAAAATTTCTCGCTTATTTGAAGTTGGAGCAAAAGAATGCAACTGTGATGTTCTGTGACAGCAAAGCCGCCATTGCCATCATCAAAAATCCAGTGCTTCATGATAGAACGAAGCATTTCAAAATCAAGTTGCACTCAGTAAGGCAGTTGCAAAACGAAGGTGAAATTGATCTACAATTTTGCTCATCTTAAGAGCAAATTGCTGATATACTCACCAAGATTCTGCCAAAACACAGGTTTGATGTTCTGTGTGAAAAACTTGGAATGCAAAGACTTAGCTCCATGGGGGAGTGTTGAAGTCGGTGATCTTTTGAGTTTTGACTCAAAAGAATGGAGCAAAAGTCTATCCAAATGCCTATGTTAAGATATTTTATTAGGGTCCTACTTATCTTTTTTTATCTTATAATCTAGCCACTAGGTAGAAAGAGTGTAAGACTTTGTACCCACTTGCCCACTTGCTTAGTAAGTGGATGTTTGTTTCCCAGTTGTTGATTGTCAAAACTTGCAAGACCCAGAGTCTCTATACATGCTGCAGGATGATGAAATAAAAATCCAGCAAGCTATTATCAAAAGCTTTCCTCTTTCTCTTTACGTTTTCTCTATTCGTTGCATTATTGCTCTTAGTCTAACACACAAATTTGAATGTCTTTCTGGTTGAATTTTTAGCTTAAATTTGGTATAGATAAACTAGAGTTGATGAAGAACATGCTAAAAAAAATTCATCAAAAAATTCCACCAGGAATCACTCCAAACGGCGACGGCCAGACGGAGGCTCCTGTCCATTCGGATGAACATAATCTTTTTTCTATATATTCGGAGGTTGGGCCTAGGCCCTCCCTGGGCCTACAATTAGGACCTTGGAGTTTGCTTCTGCACCAGTGACCTAGAGATTGTAGAGAATACTTTCGATTGCAATAAAAACAGTGACCCTTCTCTTGAAGAGATTGGACCTTTCGATTGCAATAAAAACAGTGACCCTTCTCTTGAAGAGATTGGACCTCTTTGGTGCTCATCTTCTAAATGGGTGTGGATGGTATGGGCAATTCGGCAAGAGACCATCAATATGGATTGCGGATTAGGGATTAATAGTCCGTTTTAACTGTGGAGTACCCAGTCCCTTGACTTTCACTTTGTCATAATCAATTCAAAGAGAATGATAGAGAACACATCAATGAAAGATTTAGAACCCGTTTGGTAGCATGAAAATCGGCTGATTTGGATGATTTTGTTGAAATTTATGAAATTCTGGTTGAAATGGCTGCATTGGCTGATTCTGCTAATTTAAGAAATAATTATTTTAAAAATATTTTTTATTAATAAAATATAGAAAATATTATACGTACAAATAGCTAAAATGTTCATCTACAATAACTTCTGCCAATACAAACAGAAAAGTAACTTCAACCCTACTTTTTCTGCTTATTACACAATTTAGCGCGTGAAAGCAAAAATTACGTGTTTGATGAAAAAATTGGTTGTTAAAGCGAAAAACAGTGTTACCAAATGGTAATTCCATTTTGTTTCTCAACATCACTGAGTTGAAATTACTCAACTTACTAGAAAATAAACACTTGAAACTCTTTTTTCTTGATAACTTCATTTTATCAAACTTCCCACTTGAATAGTAGAGACTAGAGAGGGATGAGTTTTGTCTCGTCCATATTAGCATATATTGAACGGTCAGGATTAGGTGAAGTTTAACAGATAAATGGAGGAATCCAGCAACTCCAATAAGTGAAAATATTAGCCATTGTTCTGACGATGCATACTGTTTTTATTCTAGCTTATTAGTGAGATTTACCATACATATTTATAGATATACAAATATGTGTAAGCATTTTAGTGAGAATGACACTTAAAATGTAAGTGTGGATGATAAAACGATGTAATTTTGAATCATCATAATGGGATTTGATTCCTTAAATGTTTTGAATAATGCAGTCAGTCATTGTAGTGCTTATGGTGCAAAAAGATTTGGACATATGATTCAAAATTATCACATCTTTTATCAAACTAGATTTTCACCCGTGCACACCTCCTCAATGCATGTTCTGAGATGTGTGAATCCCTCCCTCGAGAATCCCCTGAAGGTTCCACCAATATTAACAGAATCGCGAATCACATTTCATGCGCCACCTCCTTGAAAATTACCAACCGTCACTATCTACAAATGTGTCCTAGAGTGTTAGATCTTAAGTCAGAGTATATTGATAGAATTTGAAAATCAAAATCAACAATAGAAGGTTTTGAACTACTTCTCGTATTGATTTGTTCATTAAGCCACAGTGCTCTTTGAACCAACAGTCCATTTTGTAAGATTTAAAAGCATTGTAGGTTTTAAACTACACGCTAAAAACAACTTAGAAACTGCCACAACCTACAGTCAAAAATCGTTTCCAAACAACAAACCCCGGTCAGCCTTGGTAAATCGTGATAAAACTGAACATTTCTTCCAGCAAGTTTAACATGATGGTCTGAGTCATCCCCGTCATTCTTGTACTTCCTGGTCTCTGAGCATCGTTTGAGACCTTTGGCTAAGACGTTCTCCATTCTCTATCACTGGCAAATGCTAAAATCTTTCTAATTATTTGCAGAACTTCCGATTAATAAAAAACTCCCACCACCAGATAAAGGCTTTGTCTAGAAGAGACATTGCTGACTGTTTGAGTTTTCCATGTATCTATTCAAGAACTCATACATATTTTGTTAGAGTACAGTTGTAATGGGAGGATCCACATATATACATACATAAACCAAAGTGTTTATCACATTTTGATTAATTTGGGGAACATACCTTCGGAAAATTCAAACCCAATTCCCCCCATTCAGAAAAATGCATAGATCTCTACATTTATGAACACTCACTTCACAGTAAACTTCCGGCCAGTTTGTGGGCAAGCAGTGTTTCTTCTTTGAGGTGAATCTGGAGGAGTGCGTGTTGTATCTTCTTGAGGACCTCTTCAGATTCAAGCATGGAGGCGGATGCGTTCCTCGCAGAGTCCGAAGGCATCGGTTTCTAGAGCCTGACCATCGATTCCTATAATCTGCTGCCTTTTGCAGAGGCCGAAGGCGTCGTAGGTATTCAAGTAGAGCTCATTATTTATTGTACAACTACAGTTCTCCAACCAACCGAGAGACAGTTGTACTCTGTAATACACTCACTCACTCAGTTCAAGAAAAACATTGGGCAGAGAGTTGTAGTGTATCCTTTTAATAAAGCAAATTTCAATCGTAAATAACATGCATATATCATCTCGATTCTCACCCCATTCTGTGCACTACGAATGTATGTATGATAGCTATGGAGTATTAAAAAACATTTAATAACCTTGACCAGTACAATAATAGAAGCAGGAGACTCTTCGGCCAACCCGACCCATGTTCTGCCCCGTATCTTTGGGCGGGAAAGTGGACTGATTTTCCACTTTTCTTTGTATAGAGCATGATTTCCTGCATTACTGGGCCACTGGCTAGTGGTTGGGGGTGGGCTTAACATACAAACCAGAATTGTAGTGAAGCAGTCTGAAATGGTGCAGATGTGGGAAAAGGGGGATTCAAACAGTGTTAAACACATACAAGTACTTGTATTTGGCCTCAATGGGAAGGCATTATGCTTGCGGATAAAGGAAGGCATTACATTATAAAGTAGGGTTAGCCATGTGGACAACTTATACCAGACAGAAGGACAACATGATGAGGAATATATTCAAAGCAAATGAATAGCTTCAACAGCAGAAGAAAAAATAAGGGTACAAGTAAAGCAACATGTATTTCCCATGTCAACATAGTAAGCTGAGTTTCAAGTATCCACAAAGCTACAACTTTTGTTGTAAAAAATGTGCAAATTCAAAGCAGTATGAATGGTTACATGCAAGTATGCAAAACAGTAAGAAAAGACAAGGTAAGGAATGGCTTTCAGAATACATAAATGAACACTAAATTCTCAGTTGCGTGCAACCAAGAATGGTTCCTCGGCATAACGTCATGGGAGACACCTTACGCCAAATGGGCCTTTCACTTCCGAGCGTTAGAACATCAACATCAGAGGTTGTTTCAATGTCCCAATTCAACCTCTCTGGACCTACAACCCCACCAATTATGTATATATCGTCCCCAAGTCCCATCATTGCAAACCCAATCCTTCTACGGAACTCAAACGCCGAAACTACAACCCGGTTCGATTCTTTCTCTTGCTGATATACAAGTCCATTACTCATAACATAAAGCTTCCCCCTGACCACAGCCATCGGACCTTGGACCCAACCATAGTCATGAACAGTCCACCCTTGCTTCACGCTCTCCAGAACCTGCACCATTGGCAATCCCTTGTGTACCACATGGACCCTACCCTCAATAACCACCCCGGTACAAACAGTGCTATGGGTGTGATGGAGGTCGGGGAGTGAAACCCATGTATCCCTCTCCGGGTCATACATTTCGGCTTTCGATATTGACTTTCTGAAACTAGTGAACCCACCGGCAACAACAATCTTCCCATCCAACACACAACATGCAAACATCGCGCGTGGGACCATCATTGGAGAACATAGGGCCCACCGCCATGTCACTGGGTCATAAGACCATACCTCGTCGGTCGCGAAGCTTCCATCTTGGTCACCAGTCAAAGGGTCCACAGCATCACTGCCGCCACCGAGGACAAACAGTTTTCCAGCAGCTGAGACCGCCCCAAAATGTGCAAGCTGTCTAATGTTTGAAGGCAGGATGGGGAGTTTGATCCAAAGGTCACAGGTGGGGTCGTAGAGCTGCCATTGGTTGTCGGGCTCGAAAGCGCACACACACAGTAAGTCTTCAGCAGAGCTGACTTCTTGTCGGGCTTTGAAAATCTCGCCACTTCGGATGGCTGCTCTCCAAGAGTGAGAGACCAGTTGTAATTTGGGATGAAGGGAATAAGGGACCCATGCAAGACACCTTAGGGAAACCGCATCAGGGAGTCCTTCAATGAGTACAGACATAACAATGGCAGCTATTTGCTACTTTCTTGGCAGAACATGTGATGTTGCGCTAAGTAACCTGAATGATCAGATAATAAGGATATGAGAATATTAACTTCAAGAAAATATTATGAATCTTTGGTGACCATTTTGTGGCTAATTTTTGACACATCAGCCTTTTATTATACCAAAAGCCAATTTATATTAATGCAAGCACTAAATTGCTTAATAATGAAAAAGGGGCACTGTACTCTTCTTAATATAATTTTAATAAATTTCCACCTTTTAAAAAAATTAGGGGGGGGGGGGCACACATAAGGAACGAGCCAATGCTGTATGACCAGACTCAAGATGTCACCAGGAAAATGAGGTAAGATATAAGATCCCCAACATTGGAATTCGCTAACAAGCTCAAACACTACTTGCAACTTGCAGTTTAAACATATCTTTCTTCTTGAAGTAACACCTGTAGGCAGGCCAAACCTTTCCCTACAACTTGCTAAAAAGGTCCAAGACTTAATATAAGTTCACATCCACAAGACCAGAAGTCTGTTCCAATTATATGAGATTATTAGAAACAACAAAAAAGACGCAAATTGGAATGCAAGAGACAGTAAGGAGACACATGAGGTGAAAGATAGATCGATGAATACTTCGAGAGTTTTGTGAAAATGGTCGGCATGCCATTATAATAGTGAAGGAATGTACTCGCGGAATGTAAATAGCTAATGGCAACTGTTCTGCTGAAGATCATCACCGCACTAAGGACCAGAATGAACAAACACAGCAACAACAGAAAAAGACAAATCTATCTAAGAAAGCCAGGATCACTCAGCAAGATCACACATGCCCACATCATGAACTCAAAAATCAACACACGCAAGCCAGAAGGGAAAGTATACATCAACCTCAACCAGGGGAGGGTCTTTGTAGTGGCCTAGGGACTATAGCTCCCCCCAAACAACCAGTTATATGTGTATGAAGATAGTTATCAGAACTAATTTGGTCCCCAAAAGATAAGTGAACCTCATATCCCCACAATAACATTCTAGTTCCGACACTGACCTCAATTCAAAGCCCTAAAATGATTGATTGTAAACGAAAATGAACACCAAATCTGCGAAGCTAAAAATTTTAACCCAGAAACGAAGAAAGAAAAAGAAATAGATTCAGACTGAACTCCGAAATGAATTCTAACTTGAGCAAAAATAATAGGGAACAGTTCTTGCCTGCGAATCAACCGCAATAGAATAGCATAGCTATGCTCAACAGGAATTGAAATGGTGCTCGAACGGTCTTGAGATGCCTGGTACACGCATAATCGTCTGGGATTAAGAGTTGTGGAAAACTTCTTTAAAACATTGAGTGAGTTTATACCCTAAGATATGGGAATATGCGATATTGCGATCATCAAAACTTCTACAGACAGACGGAGTTTTGGGCTGACCACTCTGCGCGACTACGATTCCGAACAATTCATCATAAATTAGTCACCATCTCTAATTTCCAGATTTCAGTCTCGAATATTATATACGGCTTAATTCATAAAAATAGCATTCAGTAAGGGTACCAAACTAGAAAAGAGCCACAAATAACCATCCACTCGTGACCGAGATTGAGAGCTAATCACCTGTAAAAAAACAGTATAACTTGCTAGATCAAAATTGGACAACTTAAAGTCAATGACGGTTACCACAGACTTTCCCTCTCCCAACTTAATGCAAGAGTCTTACAAGGAATAAAATCTCAAAAGCAAAACATAACAAAGCAATCTAATTTAAAGTCACCAAAGCAGACAATAATAAAAACACCATTGAAAGTTTTCTTCCCCATTGCCGCCCAATAATAGTGGGAAAAATTTTCCCATTATTAATTGATTGCATGTTTTGGAATTCTGTTTAGAAATATAACTACATCAATTTTATTATTTGTTATGTTATCGTGCAAGAATACCATGTCACTAAATCTACTATGACTATATTTTTGTGGTCACTATAATATAAAAATTAAACACAATTATAGTAACTAAAAATTTTAATCCGCCATTTTATTTTTGTTTTGTTTTGAGGAAAGTCACCCTTTTATCTGCTAGGCTTATTTTGGTTGTACATTAAGTTTTATAGAGTATTTCATACTTTCTTTTAAACAATAAAATATAAACACAAATGAGGAGAGAAAATTAGAGAATAAAAAAAGCTAGAGAAAATAAAAGGGATATTTCCTTAGAAGTAAATAGGTTTTGGAATTTCAAAATAGGTCTGCAATGTTTTTCTTCCTGAAATATGAGTTATTGCTGCCATAATTGAAAAATATTACCATGATTGAAAAATAATGTCATTAGTAATAGTTAATATTGTCATGTTTAATGCGTGGTACTGTAACTATATGGCAGTAATGGCCAAAGATGACAGTAAATATCGTCATGTTACTCCTATTTTAGGTAGAAGAACAAACCAGTCATATTTGGAAGTTACAAAACTTGTTTACTCCTATTTCGGGAACCTTCTAAAAATAAAAGCGCTAAAGAGTGAAAAAAACAAATAAAACCTCGTCTCCTCACATTGATAAAGCCCAATAAAATTCCGGCCATCTCCTCTCTCGGGAAATGCAACATGAAATCAAAACTAAATTTCCGAAAGGGTCCAGAGTGTTCAAAGTCAAATTCCCTGCAAATGACCCTTGCAAACTTGCCGATCCAAGCGAAAAGATCTTGCTGGTGACCCATTTTTGGTTTAATCAATGCAGGCACTCCTAGAAAGTGCGTGAAAGCCAATAAAAGAAATTTATGATTGAAATGGGCGATCTAGTACCCGGTCTCTATGCATCATGTAATTAAATATTAATTACATCACCCTCCTCACTTCCTCAGAGTAGCTATTCAACATTTGATGACAGAAGGTGACTACACAACATTCTTTTGAGGTCGACAGTTCCACGAACTTTTAAATAGAAAATGGACGATCAAAGTTGAGCATATCTATCGAGAGGGTAACTGTACAACAGACTTTTTAGCTAGTCTAGGTCATAGATTACCTATTGGTGTTCATTCTATTTCTAGTACTGATTCTAGATTATCGTTACACATTTTGTATGATTTACTTGAGATTTCCAGACCATGTTTGATGATTAATGATAGACATGAGCTATTGCTCCTGTGTTTCTACCAAAAAACTGTAAAAAGAAGAAGGGAAAAGTACAGAGAACGTGTTTGTGGTTTGGGCCGTTTTCATATAGGGACACATATTTCATTTTTTTAACAAAGTGTGACATGTGTTTCAATTCCGTTATCACAGTTGGGGCATGACATCTAACGCCGTTAGAAAAATTAACTCTGATTTTCAAAAGTCTCCGAAAAATTAAAAGAAAAACACTTGGAGGTGTGCCTCGTCAAGGAGACCAACAAACTATCGTTCTCTTTGGATTTTTCGACTCTATTTGGATAATTTTTAAAAAACGAATTCTCTACCATCACTTTTCTAATGGACTTTCTGGAGACAGGGTTGCTGGGAACAAAAAAAAGAAAGATAGTCTAAAGGTCTTCTTGAGGAGACGCACCTCCTAGTATTTTTTTTTTCGGAGACTTTTGAAAATCGGAGTTAATTTTTCTAACAGCGTTAAACGTAATGCCCCAGCTATGATAACGTAATTGAAACACGTCTCACTTTGCTAAAAAATGAAACATATGCCCCTATATGAAACGACCCAAACTACAAGTACATATTTTTTTCAAAAAACGAAAACTTACGGACGTGGGCCATATGTACTTGAGAGTTATGTTTGGTGATAAATAAAGGTCACGTTATCCGGGTTCCGACCCACCGGCCAAACCGCCCCTACCTTTTTCAACCCTTCAGCCCCACAATACCGGATCCTCATTGTTTTTCACATTTGTATTGTAAATTACACCTCTACCCCTGCAGTGCAATTCACGTGTACATAGTATTTATTTGGTCAATGGTCATGTTAGGCCTGCTCTCCCAATTATGCATACCGACATGCATAAGGTTTAAAACTTTAAAGGTTTAAATAGTACGTGGTATTCATTTTTTTTTAGAGAAAAGGGGCGAATAAGGCCACGTACTAAGCAAAAAAGGTCAAATAAGGCCTTATTTAAGAGGATCTGTCCGGCCGTCGCCATTTGGGGTGGTTCCCGGTGGAATTTTTTAATGAAAGTTTTTGAGCATCTTATTCAGTAAGTCTAGTTTACTCATACCAAATTTTTGCTAAAACTTCAATCGGGAAGGCATTCAAATGAATTCTTGAAGATAACTGAGCAGTTAAAAGCGCAGTTATCTTCAAGAATTAATTTGAATGCCTTCCCGATTGAATTGTTAACTGAAATTTGGTATGAGTAAACTAGACTTAATGAATAAGATAGTAAAAAAATTTCATTAAAAAATTCCACCTAGAACCACCCCAAATGGCGAAGGCCGTACAGAGCCTCATAAATAAGGCCTTATTTGACCTTTTTTGGTTAGTACGTGACCTTATTTGCCCCTTTTCCCTTTTTTTTATTCCTATCCATGTTTACGATTATTGAGTTCTCATTATTTGACTTTATGACAATGCAACATATAGTGACTTACTATTACTAAATAATTCATTTTCAATTATAAATTAAGTTTTCCCATAAATATTGTTGATATATGTATTCCGTCTTCCTTTTTACTAGTATTTGTCACGTATTGTTCTTTTTACCCTGGGGTCGGGGAGGGGGATTGAGACTAGATATAAGATCTAGGGTAAACTCATATCAAACTAACTTCATTGAATATTGAAGCTGAAACCTCCTATAAGAGAGAGTGACGGCGACTAGCTAAGCTAGACCGTTTTCTCTGTCACATATTGGTGATATTGCTTTTGAAAAGTTGTTTCAATCTAATATCTTTTTATCTCATTTTTATTACTTTTATTTTCTCACTTTTTAGAGATTACTTTCTCTTTTCCACTTTTTCATCACCCTCATCATCTAATATATTTTGTTTCCTACTTTTTTTTTATTTGTTGTAGACGGTGCATTACGCCTTCTACTTTTCCTAAGGCATTTTAAGGACACTTAAGAGTTAAGAAGAATGGAGGAAGATTTTTTTTATGACAATAAATGTGATAAAGTGAATAACTTAATTAATGTAGGTATATATATGTACGTCATAGTCAGAATAATACTTCGTATACAACTGATCATAATCATGCATGGTTACTTTAAGCTACTATTCCAATCATTAAATTAAGTATAAAAAGTTACATTTTTTTTTTCACTGCCTTCATTTTAGTCATTATTCGTCATGATCATCTCATTATTAATTGTTTTAAAGCATACTTATGTTTATTAGGTAGCTAGCTAGTGTGAAGGAATACACTTGAAGTGGCTATCAAAACCATCATTCTATTACATCATATATTTATGTAGAGTAGAAATTAGAATGAATTGGCATATTTTTATTTTTCTAAATATGAGTACGTAGTACTTCTCTTTTAAAAATTCATGTTTATTTAAATATGTCATTATTTTCCTAACTCAATAGTAAATAGACTAATTACTAATTACCCATATTTCATGAATTTTCTCTAATATAATCTACGTAGTGTATAAGCAAGAGAATATCTTAATACAAGTTGTAACATGATTTACACAATACGGAGTAACTATAAATTATACTATTAAAATTAAAGTAACAATAACATAAATCGGAAAAGATCCTGTCCAGCCGGAGGGACAGGATCCTCCGTCCGGCCGCCACCGTTTGGGGCGGTTCCCGGTAGAGTTTTTTGATGAAATTTTTATGGAATGTTCCTCATCATGTCTAGTTTATCCACAAAAAATTTCAGCTAAAAATTCGATCGGGAAGACAGTCAAATAATTTTTTGAAACATAACTGCGTTTTATATGTTTAATTTGGCGCAGTTATCTTCAAAAAAATATTTGACTGCCTTCCCGATCGAATTTTTAGCTGAAATTTTGTGTGGATAAACTAGATTTGATGAGGAACATTCCATAAAAATTTCATCAAAAAAATCCACCGAGAACTACCCCAAACGGCGGCGGCCAGACGGAAGATCCTGTTGATCATTCCTCTAACATAAATTATATATACTTCATCTATCTCATTTAAGGTTCTCACTTTCTTTTTTTAAACGTCCCATATATATAAAGATTCTTATATTTATTTTAGGAAACAACTATAATACTCCTAAATAATTATTGAATCATCAAATATTAAAATTATACATCCATAACCTCATATATTCACAGCTATCATCAATGATCCCATTTTATCAATAAATCATCAAATTTATGTTTCAAAATCTTTTCAAATTAACTTATTTAAATATTATAAGTTATGAAATTTTCAATATGAAATTTTAACCGGTCCGGACACATGCAGTACTCCATTGTCAAAGGAAAGCATACAAGATTAAAAAGTTAAGGAAATAGTGAACTACTCTATAATACTCCGTATATGATGTGATTATGATTTATGATTATATATATACTCTAGTATTTAGTACAAAAACAGTAAACTACCCGTGATCACCAATGATCGACTTTCTTAAGAATAGATCTAGAAGATATTTATTTTAGTCGTATACATGGCAATAATAGCAACGATGGCTATAGTAATTATTAACCCAATAGTAATATTAATGATATTAATAAAGTACTTTTCGTGAAATATTATCCAAATAAAATTTATGATCTGATTAAATTTTCATAAATATAATGTTAGTCACTAAATAGTAAAATTGAACTTAACCATAGTTATTAAAAACCAGGTCACGTTTTTTTATCTTTCAACTTTATTTTAATCACATTTTTTTGACATATTATCCAATAAATTTTCATGAACATAATGTTATTGTCACTAAACAGTAAAAGTGAACTTAAACATAGTTATTAAAAATTATGTCACATTTTTATCTTTAAATTTTATGTTAATCACATATTTTTTGACATTATTTTAATCACAATAATTCATTATATGTAATAATACCACTATTAGCAATTTATGACTACGTATTAGTGTATTATTACTTTGTACGAAGGATTGCTTTAAACAAGCGCAGCCATTTCTAGCTGCATGTCAAATTTCTTCAGGCGTCTTCGAAGTCAGCACCCTAGTCAACGAAGGGGCAATCTCGTCATCCTAAGTATTTCATAATGCGTTTATTCATAAAATCCTTCTTAATTAACCATTGATAATTCCAACACCGAGAAAATCAAAGGTAAATAAAAAAGAAAAGAAAAGAGAGATACCGAAAATATGGTATATATTGTCTCTTTCTGAGTTTACCCCTCCCTCCTCTCTAAAACATTATTTCCACTTTAACGCTTTCTCCAAAGCTGACAAACTAAGCAAAAGCCAGCGCACCCGCGGCCAAAAACCCACAACCTTAAGCGAATTCCGGAGATAGAGAAAGAGGGATGGGGAGGGCCGGAGGGGGGCAGAAGGGTCCAACAGAAATGGGTTGATCGAAACCGAAAGCTTCCATAGGCGTTTCCTTGGTGGCAAATTTAAGTCTAGCGATCCATTTTTGTTTGGGTTTTATTTTCTGGTCAGTTCTGGTTCTCAAGATTTAATCTTTCTGCTTCAGAGCGCCAAAGAAACCAGCTGTTCGTTTTCTGTATGCGTATGTATTCATAAAGTTAAATAATTATTATATATCTGTTATCTTCCTGTTGATTGGTTTGATATGTGAGCTGTGAGCATGATTCTGATAATCATGGCTAATCACGTCTTATTGATTGCAGTCATTTCCAAAAATTAATTAAGTTCTGCTGTTTAAAAGTGATTGTTTAAGGGAGTGGGAGGAAAAAAAAAGATTTTTTGTTGTTTTGCTACTAAAGCGTTTTGATTTGCTGTAATTAATAATACAGATCTGATCTGGGATTATTTTCTTATTTCCTTCAACTTCTTTCAGTATTCTGCAAGGCATTTTTTTCAAAAGCTTTCAGAAGGCAGCTGTTGGAGTACTTCATATAGTTTTTTGGACTTGGATATTCATACCCAATCCATTTTAAGGTATTTTGATTGAATGCCCTGCTCGGCTGCAATATTGTTTTAGCTCACCTGCTGCTATAATTTATTCACCTGAATAACTGTTCTTAGTTGTTCATAATTAGGTATAAGGGTGGAGAAATCTAGAAAGACGAGTCAACTGTAAGTTTCATTTTTGGGAGATCAAAAGTTACAGTTCATCAACCACTTCTGTGTTGATATAAGCTTTCCTGTTGGTTGTTTTTTTCAAGAATCTTGAGCTATTTTTCTGCACATTTCTTGAGTCTTCAAGCTTGAGGATGTCAAAATTGTCTCATGCCGATTCCAGACGAATGTATTCTTGGTGGTGGGACAGCCACATTAGCCCCAAGAACTCTAAATGGCTTCAGGAGAATCTCACAGGTAATTCTTTCTTGTGATCTCCTTGATTCAGAATGTGCGCTTTTTATCATAATTGTTGCCTAATATCAATCAGGTAACAGACAACCGTTAGGCCATGTTTGGTGGGGGGGGGGGGGGGACTTTGGAGGGGAGTATTGATTTTTATCAAACTAGTTTATCTATAATGTTTGTCTTAGACTGGAATATAACTATGTGTTAAGATGAAGAATGTTTTTCCATATAGTTTTTCATTTACAAGTTCTTTGGAACTAGGGCTGCACATCGGGCGGGTTGGGTCGGGTTTGCTATATTTTTTGGGCCTACCAGATTTGTTCGGGTTGGCTATTAACCAACCCGCACGGTACGCAAAATAAGTTGGTAAACCATGCATGAACGGGTCGGGGTAGGGTCGGGTATTGGGAAAAAAAATTACTTCGGGTGGCATCTTTCATGTAACCAATTTAAAACTCGATTAACTTGTTTCCAAAACACACAAACAAATACAAGTACTCGTACCTTTTATAAGCAAAAACATTAGGTAATAGTATGAAAACATCCTTCCGTAAAGGAAGTTCATTTAGAAGGAAACGTAAATATATAATAATCACCTAGTCAAAATGATAAATGTTTAATTATAATTCTAATATCATAAAGTCCTAGATAGAGCACATTGGTCTTAAATTGAAATAATCCAAGAAAACGTTGTAGCATAATAATAGTAAAATGAACTTCGGCCGGGTCGGGTACTATCGGGTTTGAGATTTTATTTCCGCAACCCTACCCATTGGGTGCGGGTTCAAACATATTTAACCCATGAATATTTTTAAAAATCAAATACCCGATTAAATAGGGTCGGGTAGGGTTGGGTCGGACGGGTTATGCGGGTTCGGGTTATTCTTGTGCAGCGCTATTTGGAACCATCTAAATTTAAGAATAAATTTTAGAAATGATAATCCCACTGCATCAAAGAAAGAATCTTGTTTTTAATACTAATTCCAGTATTACAAGCATGACTCTTCTTTTGAAATGGAGGGTGTAACATATTATTCCCACATATATAGTATTTCTATAAAAACACCAAAAGAGATGGGGCGCTCACCAATAAGGCACCTAGGATCTCCAGAAAGGCATGATGGGGGCTTAGTTTGGCTGAACCCCTAAGAAGGCTGATTTTGAAGTTTTTGCTTCGGCCAATTTTACAACTCTGCTATATCTGTAATGCATATTAACAGTTATTTAGCATACCAGTTTCTGCGTTAGGTTTCTATTGGTCTTGTTATTTGTGGCTTATGCTTGATTACCATGAGTTAGTTTCTCCTTGAGTTGATTCAATGATTGATTAAAGTATGTTTGCATCTCGTGGATTGCCAGGGAAAGAAAAAATAGTGTGGAGGGAAGTTTTTTTTGTAATGTTCAGATTTATGGTGGAAATATTAAAAGAACAGACGCAATAAATTTGTAAAATTGAGTATCAAACTGTCCATACCTGTTTAGCCTTTATATACTAGAACAAGTAAACAAAACTGAGTATAAAACTATCTAAAATACTTATATTGAGTTTTAGCCTGTTTTTTTCTTCACATTTTCTTTCCTTATTATTTTCTTTCCCAAGTACAAAGTAGGAAGACACATTATTCTTTTCTTGCTTTTGACTTCTCCTGATGTGAACTCTTGTCCCATTTCCCAGATATGGATTCTAAAGTGAAAGCAATGATCAAAGTTATAGAAGAAGATGCTGATTCTTTTGCAAGAAGAGCTGAGATGTACTACAAAAAACGTCCTGAGCTAATGAAACTTGTAGAAGAGTTCTACCGAGCATACCGTGCATTGGCTGAAAGGTATGATCACGCAACAGGTGTGATCCAACATGCCCACAAAACCATGCCAGAAGCTTTTCCAAACCAAGTTCCTATGGGTGATTATGATTCACCCATTAGCAGTACACCTGATCCTCAAACTCCCAACTCAACTGCACGTTCTCTATTTGAATCTGATGATGAACTGCAAAGCTCTGATCCCAAGAGAAATGGATTGAAACAGATTAACAATCTCTTTGGGTCTAAGGGCAATAATGTGAAATTTGGTGATGGGAAGGTGAGAAAAGGCCTCAACTTTCACGAGTTAGAGGAAAAAGAGCGAAGAGCACAAACAAATAAGGCTAACAGGCCTGATTTGGATCAGGATTTTGAGTCTGAAGAAACTCTAAGGAAGGCCCAGCGGGCCCAAGTCGAAGATGAGAAGGTGGCAGGTAGGATTCAGTACCAGCAGGGTCTAGAGAAGTCTTCTGGGCTGAATTCATCAATCTCTCACGCAGAAGAAGAAGTTCAAACCTTAAAAGATGCTATCTCTAAACTGGAAGCTGAAAAGGAAGCTAACCTTCTTGAATACAGACTTTGTTTGGAGAAAGTTTCTGATTTGGAGAGTAGACTCTCTCAATCGCAGGAGGACACTATGGTTCTTAGTCATAGAGCTACTACAGCTGAACTGGAAGCCCAATCCTTGAAAGATGATCTTGAGAAGATAGCCGCCGAAAAGGACAAAGCTCTTGATCAGTACGTGCAATCTCTTCAGATGATAGCTAAGCTTGAGAACAAATTACAATCTGCATTGGAAGATTCTACAATGTTGAAAGAAAGAGTTGAGAGAGCTGAAAGAGAGGTTGAAACCTTGAAAAATGATCTTGGGAAGATAGCCATTGAAAAAGACAAAGCGCTTGAAATGATAGATAAGCTTGAAAACATGTTAAGATCTGCTGAGCAAGATTCAAGAATATTAAAAGAAAGAGCTGAAAGGGAGGTTGAAGCTTTGACACAGAAAACGGTCAACCAAACTCAAGAGCTTGCAGAAAAGCAGCAAGAGTTAGGAAGACTATGGAGATGCATACAGGAAGAGCGATTGCGCTTCATTGAGGCTGAAACTGCCTTCCAGACTCTGCAACATTTGCATTCCCAGGTTCAAGAAGAATTAAGATTGGCGACCTCAGAATTAAGAACTGATAATCAGAGATTGGAAGACGAGGTCTTGAAGGTCAAAGAAGAAAACAAGAACCTTGAGGAAGTCAATGTATCTTCATCCATGATGATAAGCAATATGCAAGAGGAGATCTCTAGTTTGAGCGAAACAAAATGGAAACTTGAGCAGGAGGTTGAGCTCCGAGTGGACCAAAGAAACGCTCTTCAGCAAGAGCTATACTGTCTGAAAGAAGAACTAAATGTTTTGAACCAAAAATATCTCTCAGTTTTGGATCAGGTAAAGGAGTTGCAGGATGAGATCACCAACCTCAAAGGCACATTTCAGAAAGAAAAAAGTGAGAAAGAAGGTCTTCTGGAGAAGCTTATGCTCTTTGACCAGCTTGTCGAGAAAAATTCCATCATGGAAAATTCCCTATCAGATTTAAGAGTCGACTTCGAGGCTATAAGTGGGAAAGCAATGGTTTTAGAGAGCTCTTGCCAGTCCCTCTTAGAGGAGAAGTCAACTCTACTAAGTGATAATGCTACTCTCACCAATGAACTGCTAGTAACAAATGAAAACCTGGAAAAGCTCTCAGCAAAGAACACTGTGTTGGAAAATTCCCTTATTGATGCTCATGATGAACTTCAAACCTGGAAGGAAACATCAAAAGGACTAGAAGATTCATGCCAGATATTAACGAATGAGAAGTCGGATCTTCTTGGTGAACAGGAAAGATTGCTCAATCAATTGCAGACTGCACTGCTGAGACTGGGAAACCTGGAGAAAATGTACTCAGATATTCAACAGAGATACTCAGTTTTGGAGAAAGAGAAGGAGGAGCTTAACATATCTTTAGACAGAGAAAAGAACGATCACACAAATTTTGTTCAGACGAGTAACAAACAACTGGCGGGTATGGAATCTGAAAATCTTCTTTTACAAGAAGAGTGCCAGTTGAGAGCAAACGAAAACGACGAAGAGCGTGATAGAGCTTTTGATTACCAACTTCAGATTTTCATCTTGCAGAAATGTGCACAAGATCTTGAAGAAAAGATTTTCTCTTTGCTGACTAAATATCACAATCTGGTTTTGGGGTTAGAGCAGAGAAATGAGGAAGAAAATCACCAGAACTTTGTTGAAAACTGTGTTCTAGTCACATTGCTGAGTCAGCTAAAATTGGAAGGAGAGAAACTCAATTCAGAAAAGGCCACCATTGAGAATGAGTATATGAACAAATCCAATCAGCTTTGCATCTTGCAGAGTGAAGCCATTAAAATCCAAGAGGAAAATGAAGAAATGAAATCAAAAATAAAGGTTAAAGATCACAAGGAGAAGCTTCTAGAACTTGACATAGAGAATCTGGGCAGCAAGTTGATGAATTTTCAGAGAGTGAATTTTGGACTTCAGGAAGAGAAGACTTCAATGGGGAAGGAGATATCTCTGCTAGAAGAGGAAACCGTTGCCATCTATAGTGAAATCCTCTCATTGAAAATCCTTTCTATGGTTTTCAAGAACTGCACCAATGAAAAATTCTTGGAATTAAAGATGCTTTATGATGATTTGGACAGGCTCAATGAAACCAATAGTGAAAAGTTAAGCCTAGCTGAGAGGATTCTGAAAGAGCTAAAGTTTGAAAATCTTAATCTGATGAAGGCTTTGCAGAGGTCAGAAGATGAACTGAATGCCACTAGACTTGTCAAGATTCAACTGGATCATGATATTGACGTGAAAAATAATGCAATGTCAGAAAAGGAGCAAAAGATTGTGGATATAGAACAAAAGCTGAGTCTGGTAGAGAACGAAAATTTGGAGGCCAAGAAGACTAAAGAGGATCTGAAAATGCAGATACTATCATTATCTGAAGACAACAATTTTTTGATTACAGAGAATGGAAAGGTGAAAGAGAAGAATGAAGAATTCCAAAAACAAATTACAGAAATTCAGACATTAGAATCAGAGACTGAGGGCCTGTTTGGTGAATTGCAGATCTCTTCTTCTTTCCATAGCTTGTATGAGCAGAAGGTTCATGAACTCTTGAAAGTGATTGAAAACCTTGAAGACAGGATTACTTCAAAGGATGTTGATGTTGCATTTCTGAAAGAAAGATTAAGCATTGTAGATGCTGTCAATGAAGGTCTAAAGATTCAATTGGCCACTTCAGAATCAGAGATGGAGGACTTGTTTGGTGAGTTGCAAGTCTCCACCATTTCCCATGATTTGTATGAGAAGAAGTTTCATGAACTTATGAACGTGAGTAATACTTTTGAAGCCGAGAGCACTTCCAAGGATGTTGAAATCAAACTTCTAAAAGAAAGAGTGAACTTTCTGGAAGCTCAAAAAGAAGATCTTGAGACTCAACACGCCACATTGGAATCAGAGGCAGAGGAGTTGTTTGGTGAACTGCTGATATCTATGGTTTGTCACTGTTTGTTTGAGCAGAAGGTTTACGAACCCATGAAAGTGAGTACAACCTTTGAAGCTGAGAGTACTTCAAAAGATATTGATATTAAAATTCTCAGTTCTGAAAATGAAGAGCTTAAGGCTCAGCTGGAAACATGTCGCCCTGTTATTGTTTCTTTGATCCAATGCATATCGTCCCTGGAGAAGCACGCCTATGGGAGATTTCTAACCCCCCATAATAATGATGTAACAGAGGTAACTGTGTTTTTTTGTTTTAGCTCTTGTTTGTTGGAGATTTTGAAGGGAAATAAAGGGGAGCTGTGGTACGTATTTTGTTAATTTAGTCTTATATCAGATGGTTCGAAAGAGTAAAGATGAAATTCTCTCTATGAATAGTGATTGGGAGAAGGTACAAATATACCTTTGAATTATATTACATAAAAAAATATACCCTTGTATCCAAATAGTTGGTGGTATACATGTTCTCTTACATGTAGTTCAAGGGTATATTCAGGGGAACATGTCATTCTTCCGTACATGGTATGTTTTCTAATTTATTTTCTAATTTAAGACACTAAAGGTCCGTTTGAAACTCGAGAAATGGCAGTAGGGTAAGAAATCTGGTAGGAAGGTAAATATGGGGGAAATTCAGAAGAAAGAAAATGGGGGGAAACAATACATTGGTTAAAAGCCAATAAATTTATTTTTGAAATTGCCTTTTGCACTTTCAAGGTGAAACCAAACACATGAAAATAACTTTGTTAATAATCTTTTGCTTTCCCTAGCATAGGGATGATGGGATTACAACAGGCCCTAAGATAAAAAAAAATACTAATAAATTACTAAAACAAAAATCAATAGTTCCCTTTCCCCCAAATTCTCCAAACTAAACAATCCCCTTATAATGCACTTTGCCCATTGCCTTCTAGATACTATGGCTGGAATTAGTTTTCTTTTAATTTTAATCATATATCCTTGCCTATTTTTAGGTAACTGAAGTTGCAAAGCATTACAATTCAGATGGAGAGAAAAATGTCACAAAGACTGATGCATTTGTAGACCTTCAAGATTTGGCAACAAGGATTCGATCTGTTGAGAAATTACTGCTCAAAGTTGAGCAGCTTGAAGTGGCAGATAACCTGAGCATGAATGCCAGACTGCAGGCTGTGATGAAACAGGTTGAAGACTTGAAAACCGAGAACAGCGTACTCCGGAGAAACACTAATCGTCGGTCTGAAATCCTCCCAGAGGGTGAAAACGGGGTTTTGACAAAAGATATCATGCTTGACCAGATATCTGAGGCCTCACCATATAACATGACCAAAAGAGAGCAACATGAAGCAGACAATCAAATTCTTGAGCTGTGGGAAACTACTAACACAGAAGGAGACACTCAAGAATATGTGAAGTTAATGAAGTTGCCCAAAAACGAGAAGGAATTACGAATGGACATATTGGAACATTCCAGACGCTCTTCAGATCTTCATGATGGAAACACAAAAATTGTTTTAGAGAGACTTAATTCCGACATACTGAAATTGACAAACCTCCAAATCACAGTCCTGGAGCTGAAGAAGAAACTTGAGATTATACAAAATAGCAACAGAAGAGGGAAATCAGTGGTTGAATTGGAAAACCTGAAGGTGCAGCTGAGCGAAGCAGAGGCTTCCATCCAGAGGCTGTTTGATCGGAGTGAGAAAGTGAAGAAAAACTTCGAAAGTGGGTCCCTCTCAGAACAAGCTAAAAGAATATCCGAGAAAATCGGGCGGTTACACTTTGAGGTACAGAGGATACAGTTTGTTCTGGTGAAATATGATGGAGGGAAAGAGAGCAAGGGGAGAAGTAGTAAAGCAGTATCAGAAGGGAAAAGGACAGTTTTGCTGAGAGATTATATGTATGGTGCTGGGGTCAAGCCAAGCCATAAACGGAAGAAGAAGCGGTTCTGTTCATGCATCCAGCCTCACACGTATGATGATTGATTTTACATTCTATTATTCTAGTATGATATTTGCAAGGTCAGGTGATGTTAGAATGTTTTTTAAACTCCTGTCCATAGACCATAAATTTGTAGACATTCTAGATGTTTGCTATCCACTAGAATGATAAGTTGTGTTATTCGTGTCTTATTGTCTGTCCAGAGAGTTGCGGCTGTAAATTTTTTTAAAGCTGCATCATGCCTTGAAATAAACTGCCTTTCTTTTTACACAGCTCTTTCCTTTATTTGTTTGGTAAGAAGAGTTGTACAGTAGAGATTGGGGTGATTTTTTTTTTTTAAAGAAAGCATTTTTCACATTCCATTTCAACCAAATAAGTCAAAAGCTATTACCTGATATCATTATCCTGCTGATTCTGTGGATATGCAGAATAAGCCATGTTTTACTACCAAACAAGCTCTAATAGTGTTTGCTTTGCAAGAACTTAGTATGACAAGAGAATAAGAGACTGAAGAATGCCATCATTGCCATGATTCCATGAATCTGTCAAGGACTCAAGCATCTACTTGAGCAAAGAATCTAATGGTCATTTGGATGCTAGAAAAACTTAAGATGGGGATTCATATACTCCATTTTTATTTATAACCCAAAAGTCAATAATATTGTTGGATTTACTTGGTAAGGGAGGGAAATGGCGGTAGTTGAAAAAAATGATACTACGTATTTGGTTCAGTGAAGAGTGAAGACGAGGAAATACTATGTACTCCGTATTTGGGAAGACGAGGAAAAAATAAACAATGAAATATATTAGAAATAATTAGGTTGAAAAACAATATTTTGTTGTAATTAGAAAATATATTAACTTACACGTATAACAATGAAGCAATCTCCAAATTCACCAAATTGTGAAAGTTAGAGCTTCCAAGTTCCAACCTGTAGCTAATCAAACTCTCTTCTTCTCCCAACTACAATCCTCCAGCTAAACAAAGATTTAAGATACATGGACAAATACAAGAGCCAGCAAAAATTTATCATTCTTTAATAAGGTAGCCCCTGCTTTTAGACGCATTCGATTGACTTTTGCTCTATTTACATGCATAACATTGTCAACATCTTATTTATTAATGCATTGGAAAATCGCAGTCTGAAAAATATTGTTACATTTGTCTCTAGTCATGGACCCGGTCTGGTCTGGCCGGCCCGCTACTGTGCGGGACCGGCCCGGCCCGCTACTGTGCGGGACCGGCCCGGCCCGCTACTGTGCGGGACCGGCCCGGCCCGGTTGACCAGTTACGGTACCGGGATTGGGCCCGACCCGGCCTGCTAACCGGGGGCGGTTCCAGTGCATGTAAATTGTGAACTGGCCCGGCTGGTTCGGGTCTCTGTTTTTTTTGTTTGGGTTGGGTTTAGGTGGGCTGGGCTAGGTGATTCCGAGGGGTTTGGGGGTGGGGGGGATGGGGTTAGGGGTTGAAATAAATAAATAAATAATAATAATAATAATAATAATAATAATAATAATAATAATAATAATAATAATAATAATAATAATAATAATAATAATAATAATAATAATAATAATAATAATAATAATAATAATAAAAACCGGAACCGGCCCGAAACCGGTAGCCTACCGGGCCGGTCCCGGACCTTACCCAAAACCTTCCAGGCCCGGCCGTGCCTAGGCCCGAACCGGAACCGGTCCGGGCCCGATCCACCACTATTAATTGTCTCTATGTAAAATATCAAGCATGTTTTTAATTGTTTTTTTTACTAATAGTCAACTAAATATATTAGTGATAACAATTGTGCATTAACAAATGTGGAAGTCATAACGTTGCAACTAAATAATGATGACATATGTAAAAGTGTAAAATTATGGTACGCTGATATTAGCGATATTGGTGAACAACTTTATAACTTTAGATCTCTTAAGAGGCTCTAAAATCATTTCATTTCTATTCTAAGGAAAGATAAGTGATACAATCTTGTTTACAACTGACACAGCCATATGATATCTCAAATGGTATTCCAAGTAAAAAAGGAATCAATTTTTTTAATATGTTTTCATTTGAACTAATTTCACTATAAGATAAAATTAGACATAAACAGACCTTACAACAAAATTGATCATACTTAAGTAATAGTAAAACCCACAACATCACACTCAAATGAATCATAAAAAGGTCACACTAGATCAAATTATGAATTTTCAGTCGAACAAAAATGAAGTCAATAGACAATTATCTTTATATATTAATGACATCCCGTCTGAACAAAAGTTTAAGCGGGTGCAATGAATATGGATTTTGGTGGATTTTTTTTAATCCAAGGACTTTTAAAAAAGTCAATGGTCTTTTAAATCCATAGACTTTTTTTTATGAATGAATTCTATGGACTTTAAAATTCATGGATAAGTTTATTGACTTTCCAAAAGTTCATAGACTTTTAAATCCGAACCGCCACTGCTGGTTGTCGGAATTTTCACCTAGATCGCCGATACCAATCTACCTGTCCGCTTCTGTCATCGGAGTTCCCCGTTGTCGTATTGGACTGATCCACCACCAACAAAATAGCTTTGATAATGCAAGAGAACTAGGGACCATTAATTATATTACTTAATTAATTAAATTAGGGGTGAATATGTAATATTTAGTTCTATTTAAGGAAAATCAAACATATAATCATACTTTAAGAAAAATGCTATGTTTTAGTCCTACCGTGGCTAATTTCCTCTGTATAATACGGAGTATGATAAGAAACAAACAAACAAATACTAGTAATAAAATAAATAACTAAAAAAACAAATAAATAACTAAATAAATAAATAAATATATTAACAAACAAACAAATAAATAAAATGTAATTCATATAGCAACATAGAGTTCTACACGAATAAATGAAGCACAAGAATCAAATTTTATTTTTATTAAAAAAACTCATTGCTACATGTGGTACAAGCATGAAGCAAATGTAATTCGTTTTATTAATGAGTAAGAACATTAATCGTTACACAAGTGGTACACTCATTGCCACATGTGGTACAAGCATATATGCGAGCTTTTCTACTTAATAATTGTTTTCTTTTCATTTCTATCTTTAAAAATTTTGTATACTTATTTACGGTTATATATTTATTAATTTAAATTTATATTTTATTGCGTTAGCATATATATTTATTAATATATTCTTATATAATAATTATTAATATATATTTGAAAGTATTAATTTTTATTAATGATTAACTGACGACGTACTTGAATTCACTGGTGTAATACTATCGATTCTTATATCGCTTTTTCTAAAGACTTCTAGAATCGAATCGATATGGGATTAACGAATCGAGGGGGTTGGGGTGGGGCAAGCTGAAGAAGAAGAAGAACGGAAGGAGAGGGCTGGGGCGAGCTGGGCCGAGCTAGGCCGAAGAAGAAGAAAGATCGAAGGGGAAGGGGTGACTTGGCTAAAGAGAGGAGAGTTGGGGGGGTGATGTGGTGGGACGGGATGAAGAACTGATATAAGAAAAGTCCACGGAAATCTCTAGTGAGGAGAAGAGACAATTGCAGAGAACTAATGTACTAAAAATGAGTTAAAAGTGTACGAGAATCTATGATTTTAAAAGTCAATAAGAATGAACAAAACTTTGAATACGCCTAGACTTTTATAAACTTTTAAAAGTCTACATTGAATAAACTTAGACTTTTGTAGACTTTTAAAAATCCATTTTGAATACACCTAAACTTTTAAAATTCATGGGCTTTTAAAATTTTGACACTAATTCCTAATACAATACACCCTAAGTTAGACCCGAGTTTAGAATGTAGAGTTCGAAGGGAAGAATGATTCAATGTAGAGAGGTCGAAGAGAAGAATGAGTACTGATTCGAGGGATTGAGAAATAAAAAATTATTGATTTTACAACTATGAACTAATGAATATTGGGAGTGGAATGTTTTGAAAATTATGATGAAAACAGCTCTAAGCTTCTTAGTTCTTTCTCTATCTTAACAAGTCAACAATAATAATTCCAAACCACCCCTTAACATCACAAATTCTCATCCACTTCATTTCGTTTCTTCCCCTCACGCCTTTTTGCTATTCTCTCCTTGAACATTTGTTTGTGTAAAATGTCTCCATCTTCTAAACCGACTACGATTTGGACTTCTGTAAAATGTGCCCAATTGCCATGCACACTCTCACTAATAAAAAACATGAAATTTCTAATATTATGTCTTGATGCGGAATACTTTAGTTAAATTTAGATTTTTCCCTCATGAACATCAATAATGTTATTAATTTCCTATTTTAAAAAATAAACAATAAAATAGCTCATTGACTTAACAGTTGGGATACTTATTCTATAAGAACATTATACTATTTTTGGAAAGTTTAATTTATCTTAAATTGTTAAAAAGTGCTGAATTTTGTAAAACATAAAGCAATGTAAAAAATATCTTAGACACTAGTTAAGCAATTCTCAAATAATATGAAATAAATTCAAAATATAATGCTTGTGTAAAATTAAAATTGTAGAGTTGATTTAAGATGTTTTCTTATGAACCGTTTTCAGACCAGATCAGACCAAACTTCCATAGTTATAAAATATACAGATGTCAAACATTTACCAGACCGAACCAGATCAGATCATAAACAAAATATCATTGGTTTCAATCTTTTTTAAATGTATTTATCTCAAATATAAAAGACTAAAACATTCTTGCATTGATTAACACAAATCCCGCAATCATTGTATCTAGAAAGCCGTGTAAACGGCAAAGTATAGATTAAGGGCACGAAAAATGCGCAACATTCCGCAAGTCCTGACCAATGTCGTGCGTTAATCGCAAGGCACATTTAAATGGCGCATTTCGTCTACGGGGACAGGCTCTTTTCTAGGCTAGCACTGAGCATTTTCTTAGGGAATTTCTTGTTTAGATTTTCCTTGGCGGAATACCTTTGACTCTTTGAGGCTTTGACGTCTAATGATTCTTTCCACTTTTTTTTTGAAATATGATTCTTTCCATGAGAAAAGGGGTAAATAAGATCACGTACTAATACAAAAGGTCAAATAAGGCCTTATTTAAGAGGATCTGTCCGGCCGTCGCCATTTGGGGTGGTTCCCGGTGGAATTTTTTTATGCAATTTTTTGAGCATTTTATTCAGTAAGTCTAGTTTACACATACCAAATTTCAGTTAACAATTCAATCAGGAAGGTACTCAAATGAATTCTTGAAGATAACTGCGCAGTTAAAAGCACAGTTATCTTCAAGAATTCATTTGAGTGCCTTGCCGATTGAATTGTTAGCTGAAATTTGGTATGAGTAAACTAGACTTAATGAATAAGATGGTTAAAAAATTTCATCAAAAAATTCCACCGAGAACCACCCCAAATGGCGAAGGCCGGACAGAGCCTCATAAATAAGGCCTTATTTGACCTTTTTTGGTTAGTACGTGGCCTTATTTGCTCCTTTTCCCTTCTTTCCATTATTTAAAACATGGGTTGGAAATTATTTGCTTGCATTAAAGGGATATTTGGTAGGATGTAAAATACTTCACATGTTTTTTATGAAAATGACTGCAATGCGTTTACATGCTATTTAAAAAAATTATACATCTAATCATACAATGTAATATATTTTACATACAAAGTGACTGCTTCCCCAAATTTTGAATGTAATCATTTTGCATGCAAAGATTTAACGTATAAACTATCAAACGAGTCCTAAATCTAGTTATAACTCTATTAGGATTTACTTTTAAAAACTACTTATTCTCTTTCAGAAAGCATAAACAAATACTGTAAAAAAAGGATGACACACCATTCCTGAGGGCTCACATAAACAACTATTATAGTGTTTAGGTGAAAATGCATAAATACTTCTAAGTACTCAAATTGTTCCTAAAAGTAATTTTTGAGAAGTTGAGAGAAACTGGTTTCTAAAGAGACCGATTCTAATTTAGTTTCTACTTCAAAAATTAGAAACAAAATCCATTTCGAACACCTCTTGTATTTGTTGTATCTCTCAAATTTGTTTTTTTTACTTAATTATCTGATTTCTCATTTTTCTTTTCTAAAGCACATGTCCCATACTCCCATCTACTAAGCCATAATGCCAAGTCATAGACTATATATAATTGTACCCATATTATAAGCTCTCTAGAATTTGCTAGACGTTAGTGAGGCGGTTGAGGAGGTGACTAGCGTCTAGGCACTAACTAGGTTCCGATTAGGTCAATTTTTTTGACTGACTAGGCCTATTAGTCATCTACAATAGGAGCCGTCTAGTGCCTAGACGCCACTTAATCAGACCAACTAGATCAAATTTTAGAACAATGATTATAAGAGATAGAGTCTGGTTCCAATAAAAAGTAATCTTGTTGTACAAAATGCCAACAACACCACTTTAGAGCATTTGAGCTATACTAGATTATTTTCGCTATCCAATTTTCATTACAAACGGTGCACTATAACATACTGAAAGTCTGAAAGTGCATTTTTTTATTGCAATGAAGAAAAATTTCAATTTATTTGTGAAAATGACACCATGTTTTTCATCCACTTTAATGCTTTTGGCATATTTATAGTCATATAAGAAATGTGTATATGTTTATGGAAAACAACTAACACGAATAACACTTTCATAGAAAACTAACTTTATTACATTTTCAAACATACTTCATACTTTTTCACATATAGTTTAGTTTCAAGTGCTTATTTGATATTCACTTCTTCTTTTCTCTAAAGGGTAAACTTATACTATCGTTGTTTCATGATACCGTTTGCGCATTAATTTAACCCCATTTAATCTTTGTATGTACAAATTAAGTTTCTAGCATTTCCAAATTTTAACTTCTTTTATGCCAAACACGAACTAGTCTGAGAATATCACTATAATACTCTCAAACAGAAGGTTACAAGTTTGAATCTTATCTCAATTTAAGGATATTGTCATTTAACATATGATAATTATTATAATAGATGAAAACAACTAACACGAATAACACTTACATAGAATTGATAGAAAACAAACTTTATTACAATTTCAAACTTACTTTTTCATCTATAGTTTCAAGTGCTTATTTGATGACAACTTTTTTCTTCCTTTTTCTAAAGGGGGGATAAGGGTCAGATAGGGCCTCGAACTCGAAAAAAAATGTCAAATAAGGTCATATTTCGGATGCTCTGTCTGGCCGACGCCATTTGGGGCGGTTCCCGATGGAATTTTTTGATGAAAATTTTTGAGCATCTTCCTCATTAAGTCTAGTTTACCCATACCAAATTTCAGCTAAAAACTCAACCGGGAAGGTAGTCAAATGAATTTTTGAAGATAACTGTGAAGTTAAACAACGCCGTACATTTCGGAAAATTATTTGACTACCTTCCCGGTTGAATTTTTAGCTGAAATTTGGTATGGGTAAACTAGACTTAATGAGGAAGATGCTCAAAAAATTTCATCAAAAAATTCCATCGGGAACCGCCCCAAATGGCGTCGGCCAGACAGAGCATCCGAAATATGACCTTATTTGACATTTTTTTTCGAGTTCGAGACCCTATCTGACCCTTATCCCTCTAAAGGTAAACCTATACTATAGGTTGTTTCACGATACCGTTTGTGCATCATTTTTAACCCCATTTAATCATTGTATTTACAAATTAAGTTTCTTGCATTTCGAAATTTCAATTTTTACATGTGAAGTATGTTGTGCTATGATAATATCACCCTTATAGTCTTAAATAGAAGATCACAAGTTTGAATATTATCTCAATTCAAAGATACGTCTTTTAACACGAAACCAATATTCTAATAGGTGAAAGAACATAGTAAAAAAGTTCAAATTTTGCATAGTAATAAAGCTTTAACATAATGAAGTATATACATTTTGGTCACTATTATCAATTTAAATATTATTTTCAATCTGGTTCAAAGGCAAAACTTATGTGATTAAAAAACAAATATTTGAGAATGATAATGTGATTATTATACATATTTTTCAAGTGCCACTTTCATTCATTTATTCTAGTGGATGTTCACTCATGATCATGTTAGTATGTCAATTTTCTGTTAGTCTATCCCTCTGAAGTCAATAGTCATTAGTCAGTACGATTTTGATAAACGTAAAACAAAGAGTAAAATTGTTAGTCGGCTTTGATCGTTTTTGACATATTTAGTCAACACTGTACTATCTCATTTGTTGAAATGCTTATAATTTGGTAAGTTTTTGTCGATAGTAAAGATTGAATTTTTTCGGTTGGCCCTAAAACTATTCAAAAGTAAAGAATGGAGATGGTATAAATTTGGGTATAAGAATCAAAGCTAGTTTTCCTTTCCCTCCTTTCCTCCATTGTCATTGATCTCTAACCCTGCTGAAGTGCTGATAGTATCAAGTCCTCTCTCTATCAAGAACGTTGCCATTAACTTTTTGTGAAAGCTCCAGAAGAAGATGGAACCCTCAGGTTTGGGCAGATATTGTAGTAGGGGTTGAAACAGAGTATAAAAATCCAATCTTGGGGAATAAAAGCACTTGCCCCATAATTAATCAATGACCTGGAGTTTCATAGCCCTACCGCAAGCTGGCCTATATTGTCCGTGCACTCCGCTGTCCTTTTCCAGAATCTCAAGTAAGGAAAAATGATAAAAAAGCAGTATTTGATCAAATTGTCAATCACAACCTATTTGACTCTTTGTCTCTTACAATATTTTGATGTAGCCATTGTAGGGAGAGGGGCAGCCCACTTTCTTTTCTTTCTTCTCAACTTTCTTCTTTTTTCCACCTTTGAATTCCATCTTTTCAGCGGCGTCGCTTTTGCTTCGTTTCCAATTCTTTTGCGGACCCACACTCGAGGATAGAGTTTATTCACTTGTCATCCATTCCATAATCTCCCGGGAAACAAATTTCATCACTATATAATGGAGTGCCTGAAGATCTTTTTCGTTAATATATTCATAAACATTCATTTTCAGTTTCAAAGTTTCAGCCTTTCAGGTAGCTTACAATTTTTTTCTTGGGCCGGTCTTATTCTTGTTATGTTTTCATGTTTTCATTGCTTGAAACCTTTTCAAATAGTTTTTCTGTTTCCTGTATTTTTTCCTTATGGCTGAGCCTTTCTCAAAAAAAATTATGAAGAGCATAGGATAGTGGAAAGGTGTAGCTTGGGCATTCTTTAGTTACTTTTAGATTTTATGAATATCTATTTACATTTCGAAAGTTAATTTCTCTATTGCTTATGTAGGCCACTGAGCAAAAGAAGGGAAGAAATGGAAAACTATGAAGTCATGGGGCAGATAGGAAAAGGTTCTTTTGGTTCTGCACTGCTTGTGAGGCACAGACAAGAAAATAAGAAGTGAGACATCTTTATTTGCTTCCTTCCTTTCACTTTCGTTTTCCCCTTTCTTGCACCTTTTAATGTGCATATGCATATATCTTACACTTCTACCATTCAGCACAAATAAATATTTTACTTACATCATATACATTTGATATTAAATATGTATCTTTTTGGTATTATGTTGATTTTTTTATTTCAAGTTACCATTGTATCCCATTTATTAAGGTATGTGTTGAAGAAAATACGTCTTGCTCGTCAGACCGAAAGAAACCGCAGATCTGCCCACCTGGAGGTGACCTTTCCCCTCAAAATCCTCATGCATTTATCCTTTGAAATTTTGTGTTGATGAAGTTTCTTGGTCGATTAAAATGAAAATGGATAGTGTACATTTACAGAAATTGCCCTAGTTAGGATGTTTTTACTTGGACTGTAATTCGTCCTAGACCAGATAAGACCAGACCAGTCCAGACTTGGATAGTTATAAAAATACAAAGAAACCGGACCGGACCAGACCAAATCAGACTAGACCAGATCAGACCAGCAAATTACAGTCCAAGTAAAAACATCCTTAGGAGTAAAAACAATTCTTTATAATGTTAAATATGAAGGTATGCTTTCTTGATACTAATTACTGCCATGTTTGGAAATGACTGCTGGTTATGTCATTTATACTGTCATAATTTGTAGTATGCTTTCATGTTAACAATAATGTACTCATGTTTAGGAAAAAACATAGTACTTCTATTTTAGAATTCACAATGTTTTAACTCCTAATTCGGGTACCATAAATTTATAAAGAAAATATAATCAATTGTTCCAGTCGTTGTCTCCTTGAGTAGGAGGTTTTAAAGTGTTATGCTAATATTTCTGATAAAGTGGAAATACTATTTCCTAAAGCTTGGTTTTATATCTTGATCTTGATTGATTTACAAAGAGACAATGTAATCATAAATGTATTTAATAGTTTGGAAATTCGAAGGAAATGATTACTGTAGCATATTAAAAATGAGAGATTGTCATTCTAAATGTATCATTCAAATGCTCTCAGAATGACCTCTTTTTTTTTCAGATGGAGCTGATGGCCAGAGCAAGAAATCCATATATTGTTGAGTACAAAGATTCTTGGGTGGAAAAGGTTCGTGGTTTTTTTTTCAAAAATATAACTGGTCTTCATGATCACTTCAAATTTATTTTTTTGTTCTCCTGTATATGTCCTGTGACCTTTTGTCACTGTTCATGGAAGGAAAATGGTGGAAAAGAAAAAAGAGAGGACACAAAAGGGAATATGAATTAAAAATATACCCCCTCCCCTTGTGGCGGAAAAAGTCTTTCAAAAGTACAAAGTATTATTTTTCCCCAAAAAAGTCAAATTTCAATAAACAAAGCTAGCTTTTAATTTATGTTAAGGATTGTTTTCTTAAATATCACCACCTCCGTCCCGTTTAAAGTCCCCGTTCGAAAATGGCACAATTGTTTAGGCAATAGTGAAATTAAGTAATTTGACTATAGTTTAAGAAGTAGTTTAGGTGCGCATATGATATAATGGGGCAATAGATGATTATGAGTGTATTAATTTAATATGTGACAATAAAGTTGTCATATAAGAGAGTTAATTATTTCCTAAAATGGAATGGGAACTTGAAATGAGACTTCCAAACGAAGAAAATGATAACCTTGAAACATGACGGAGGGGGTACATTTACTACATGTTGACACACTATTTTTTTTAGGGCAAAAATGTTACCAATGCAATTACTAACTGTCACTGACCATTTGCTGGTTGGTAACATTTTTGGCTTACAATTAATATATTTTGTGCAATGGGTAGTTACTTAGTACGGATTAATCTTTATGATTTTATGTAATTTTTGTTTCTTCTAATATTACCAACTAGTTGGTACAATAATAAATTTAGTTAAACTAAATGAATAAATTTTAAGAATTGAAGGAGGATTCTCATCAACTTTGATAGTAGTACCTTAAGAAAACTAAAAAGTTCCACCTTGACCAAATATGAGTTCTAGAATTTGCTGTGTAGTTGGAGTATGTGGTTGCATTTAATCTGACATTCATGAAGTAATAACGTTTAATTATAGGGCTGCTATGTCTGCATCGTGATAGGGTATTGTGAAGGCGGAGATGTGTGAGTAAATCTCTATTATTATATATTTTAGGATCATTGAAACCTCAATGTGTTGTCTTGGGTTCCTTCTTATTTGATCCTTCCATTTTGTTTTTGTATATAGGGGAGATGCCATCAAAAGAGCAAATGGAACTCTTTTCTCTGAAGAGGTCATTTTAATTACATTTGGGACTAAGGCTTGGATCTTGTTGTTGTGGTGAAAATGTATTGCTGATTTTTTCTATACATATCTTACTATCCAATTGTTTAACAACTCACAGAAGCTTTGTCAATGGCTGGTTCAACTGTTGATGGCCCTTGATTACTTGCATTCAAACCGTATTCTTCATCGTGATGTCAAGGTTGGTTCCATATGTTTTTCCAACATATTGATCTATATATAATTGCAATCTCAATCTTATATCTTATGCAATGTGTTTGGTGCAGTGCTCAAATATATTTCTGACTAAGGATCACAATATACGTTTAGGTAATAATCCATTTAGCTATGCCTGAGTCGTTGATATCATCATTCATTCTAATCTGAGATATTAATCCCAATTGAGATTTTTGCAGGTGATTTTGGTCTTGCAAAGGTTCTTTTTTCTGGCGATCTTACTACTTCTGTAAGTAACTGGGCAGTGATGATTATATAAAATATACTCCGAATAATACTCTCATTCCATTGGGTATGTTAGGAACCTGGAAAATCCTAGCGAAAAGAAAATAAGTGCGGAAGCAATTTGTTTTCTTATGATTGATTTTACCTTATCCATTTTATCTTACCTTATCTTTTTATTTTTCTTATCTTTTTTTCTCCTTTTGGCTCTGATTTCATGGATCGATTCATGCTAGCCAAACCCAAAATTTTTTGGGAATAAGGCTTGGATGTTTTTATTGTTGTTTATGTTTCACTTTACCATGTAAATATTAGAGGAAACAATTTTCTTACACATGTTTAGATTCATTAGTGTTTATATGATAAAAGTAAATAAATATTTGAGTTTGAAAAATTATGTAAATCAATTTAAAGATTTTGAACCAATTTGAGCATATTTTATTCTTCAGATTTTTTTCATCAAATTTTACTCATTATTTGCTCCATATTTTCTTTCAGTGGTACTTTTTGTGTTCCAAACTGAGCCTTTATGTAGTAGTATTATGCATAAAATGATGTATGTCTGTGCTATGGATAGGTGGTAGGCACTCCAAGTTACATGTGCCCCGAGCTTCTTGCAGATATACCTTATGGTTCCAAATCAGATATTTGGTCTTTGGGTAACACTTTAACTTCTGCATTGGTATAAAAAGTATGATATAAATTTGAATGCTTTAATGTCAAATAATGTTCCTGCTGCTCCTAAATGGCATTTCAGGATGCTGCATGTATGAAATGACTGCTCACCGCCCTGCCTTCAAAGCTTTTGTAAGTTAATTAGTAAAGACTCTTTCTTCGTCTTCAGTAATATGATTTAACAACAAACTAGTTGACACCACATGCACACATAATCTGTCTAAAACTAATTGATACAACATCCAACTATCCAAGCCTTAGTCCCAAAAGAATTTGGAGTCGGCTAACATGAATCAATATATGATGTTAGCGATTCTACCCCTATTTAAAAACGGACACACTTCAAGTGATCATATAAAAGACCATCCTACCCTTATTTCAATTTAACATGAAATGTATATTTTTTCGAGGTATAAAAGCATTTAATATAAAACCAGTTGATATGGGTAAATTTTTAAGACAATTAAAAATTATGCATTGAGTTCCTAAAACAGCTTTTTACTTTGTCGCAATCTTTTTTGGCTCTAAATGAAAGTAAACATGGAACAGAGGAAGTATATATATACTCCCTCCGTATTTCAAAGTTTGCTACACTTTCCTTTTTGGGATGTATTTAAAAGTTTGCTACATTTTCCCTTTTTGGTAAGTTTTTCCTTTAAAAATACTCAACTACCCTTACTTTTTCTATTTTTTATCTTCTCTTTCATACTTTTACACACTCTCTCCTACTTTTTCTACACTATTCATTACCTCTACTATTTTATTCTTAAATAATGTGCCCAATGCTATTGTAGTGAACTTATAAATACGGAGGGATATATACGAAAATGCTTACATCCAGTACTTGGTTAATGATGCAGGATATGCAAGGTCTGATTAGTAAAATAAATAAATGTATAGTTGCTCCAATGCCAACAATATATTCTGGAGCACTGTGAGTTGCTTTACCCACAATTTTTTAAATGTTTTTTGAGGTATTTGTTTAACTCAAAACTGACTAGTTATTTATGTTGTGCTGGAATCTGAAATTTACCAGTCGGGGGCTGATTAAGAGTATGCTGAGACGAAATCCTGAACTCAGACCAAGTGTACGTCTTTTCTGCATTCTTTGTACAGTTGTTTCTAAATAAAATAACACTCCATCTGTCCTCTTCTTATTTACCCCGTTTGACTCTTTATGGAGTAAGAGAATTATTAGTTCTCAGGCAAGACATATGGAATGCCGAACAAATAGTGCTAGTAAGCTGATTTCACGGGTTTAATGCACCAAACCCCCCCGTGATTTGGAAATTCGGCGCATTAGCCCCCCTGTGATTTAAAAAATGCGTCAAACCCCCTTGTGTTTTAATTATTTATGCACAAAACCCCCTTTATGAATAAATTTAACGATGTGAAAATCACTTTTCCTAATATTTTGATTGAATATGCAAATAAATATGTCAAAATCTCTGAATCATACAAAAATGTTAATCATTTTTCTTTTATTTGACAATTGAATTTGTTCACATAAGGGATTCGGCGCATGATTAATTAAAACACAGGGGGGTTTGACGCATTTTTTAAATCACAGGGGGCTAATGCACCGAATTTTCAAATCACAGGGGGGTTTGGTGCATTAAACCCCTGATTTCACTATCCAAAGAAATAAACAGATTACCTGTTTTGAAATCCAAGTCATCCTTAAGTGTCTGGAAGCTCCATTTTTAAGAGAGGGCTTGTTGAAATATAAGAATATCAATATAATGTGAAGTCAACAATTGGTTTTTGAAGTGTCCCTCACCAGGTGTTTAGATGAGCTATTGCCTAATGTATGCGTGTGAGATAAACACTCTGATAGTCTTTATGGGGCCTTGTGGCCTTTGAAGGCTCATTTTAACATAGCATGAGAGCCTGATCTTATTGAGGTTTGTTTATTTATTTGTTTGGATAAATAGACATACGTTGGAAAACAAACGAGTCCTATGTCAATGAAAATGTGGTAAAAATAAGACCTTGCTGTGAAATTATGAGAAACATTACTTTTGTCTTCTATATAGCAGAAACAATTTGAAGGGATATTTTCTAATATTACGCGTATGGTTTACTGGCTAGTAACAAATTGTGTACGATAACCTCTGACGTTTTCTTCGCACATTTCTCTTCTTGAGTCCGGTTTGGACCATTATCAACCCCTCAAGTTCTCCCATTTATCGCCCTTCAGTTGTCCAGACTATTATGGATTTGGGCTGAGGGGCATATCAAATCTCTCACAGGCTCACAGCAGATATTTATCAGATATATATATCTAATATAAGTGTTAGGGAAACCTTTTGATGATCATTTGAGGTGAGTAAGACCAAATTAATATAGCTCAAGTTTTTAGTTGAGACAGATTCTTCCTTTAATACATCACTCTCATCTCTCCGATTTTTTTTTTGTACCAGGCTGCAAGTTTACTGAAACACTCACATCTTCAGCCATATGTCATGAAGATGAGTGTGATTTTGGACAGCCCTAGACGCCATACTCTCCCGGCCCAGTCCAGTGATCTCAAGTATGCGAAAAAAACAAGACGCGTGGAGGGGTCAGAAACTGTTCATGTGCATACTAATGGAGGGAGGAGATCATTTTGCAGTAATAGGGCCTTGAATCCTAGTATTTCTGGAACTGAATTGGACAGCCACCCATTATCTCAAGATCTTATGAGTTCTTCGGGTATAAATAGATCTGAGCCGTCGGTTGGGAGTAATGTCCATGATACAAGGGTTAAAAAGACCACTGTCTCAAAGTTATCAACTGCCATCAAAACTGCAAGATCAAGTTCTAATAAAACCTCTGCTGCTACTATTAGGGGACAGTCAACTGCATTAAAGATATCCAACCCTGGTTTGACCCGTGAATTGGTAAGTTTATTTTTGAAAATGTTGTTCTTTTATCGTGTTTTTAATACTCTGTTTGGGCAAGGTAAATATTGGCTTGGGTAAATGAAATGTATTTGCTAAAATTGTAATTGAAATGACTAAACTTTCTGAATATGGTAAAAATATACATAACTCCCTCAATTTAAAAAAAGATAGGCTTGGGCTTGACAGTAATTTGGTCTGCACCACAAACATAGTTGAATTCCTATATGCGCCTTTAATGTAATTTAGGAGTTTTTCTCTATTGAGTTTTATTTTTCACAATTTCAAGGTATGAGTATTTCATTATTAACTTAACAAGATGGTAAACTTGAAAATTGCATATGAAACATGCTATTTCAACTTACCGAACAAGTATATCTTAGTCCCGTCCCGTGCAAATGTGAAATTAGTCAAATTACTTACAAGCCCATCTTTGTGAGATGGATGAACTATTTATCTATTTTAAATAAATACAAAAATAGTATAAGAATGAAGTTAAAAGTTTCATTTCCTTTCAATGAAGCTATTTCAGCAAAGAAAAGAAAAGAAAGAAACACTTGCTTTTCTTTTCATTGTCAGCTGCGAGTATAGTAAATAAAAGATCCTTTTACTAGTTTTTTCTTCTTATAATATAATAAAGAGAGTAAGCTGCTTCTGACTTGCCTCTATTGCCTAAGTCAGTAATTAGTAGAAATTCTGGTTGATAAATGGGGGCACTAAAACTAAATTTCTATTCTAATATATATTTTCCAATTACATGATCATATCTCTTCTTGTGTAGCACCCAGTGGCAGTTAACAAACCAACCCCATCAAAAAGAAGAGCATCTCTGCCATTGCCCACAAAAACTCCAAAGGTGGCCCCACCTATCAATCCAGCCGTCGGTCAACTGAACGGTCTGGAGTCTCAAGATGTTTCCATGAACGCTCCAAGAATCAACAAAATGGTGGACTCTCGTTCACCTTCCTCCCCAAGCTGTGACTCCTCAGTGACTAAAGACAAGTGTACAGTCCAACAGAAACTGGACGACAACACTACTCGTGAAGTTCGACAAGACGAAAGTGAAGGTTCGTCTTACAATCCACGCAGGTTTGATACCTCTTCATACAAGCAACGGGCTGAAGCTCTGGAAGGGTTGCTGGAGTTTAGTGCACAGCTGTTGCAGCAAGAGCGGATCGATGAACTGTGGGTTCTGCTTAAGCCTTTTGGACCGGAAAATGTTTCTCCCAGGGAAACCGCGATTTGGCTCACAAAGAGTATCATGGAGAATGCAGCTTAATTAAACATTTATTTTACAAGATGTCTTGTTTTTTGCTTTGCTTGAAAATGAAAACCTTTGGGGAAAAGTGGAGTGCATGAATTACTTGTTCATGCAAATCTAGTGGAGAAGCAAAATTTTGTTGTGTTCCTCTAAGTGTTTTTTATTGTCAATTATACGGGCTGCAGCCCAAACTTTACACTGGCCCAATTGTAAATTGGCAAAACTGACAATACGTCGTACTCGCTTGAGAAGAGCTTCTTCTCAGACTTAAGGAGTGTTTGGGTTTGATTAAAAAAAAAAGCATTTTTCACCTTTTGGCTTAAAAAAAGTTGAAAAGAGTGTTTTCGAATGACAACTTCTGCTTAAATTAATCACTTAAAAGCTAAAAGCTGGAAGCAGGTAAAAGGGTGCTTTAAACTGCTTCTCACTTTTTTTATTACACAAAAAGTACTTATTTTACCAAACACTACCAACTTTTACTTTTCCAGAATCACTTTTTTCTCAAACACTACCAACTTTTACTATTAATCACTTTTCCCAAAATCACTTTTTTAAAGTTAAAGCAATTGCAAACACTCCCTTAAAATAGGGCTGCTATTGTATCGAGTTTTTTCGAGCTATTGAAGTTCGAGCTAGTTGAATACTTGAATAGTTGAATCTAGTGAGATGAGTTTAACCAGCTTCAAACTCAAACACAAACCGGATTTGAAGTGCAAATACTAATTCGAGATGAACTGGAGCGTAGGAGTGTAGTATTTGTAAAGACATAGGAAGCAATATGCACGTACAAACCCTTCAAAAAATTACATGAAATTGTCCTCTTCCCTGCCACCAGTCCACCTCACAAGTCGCTATAGTTGGAACTTGGAATTTTGGAAAATGTGATATGAGAGTGTTGTTGTTGTTGGGACGGTCTGATTGAATTGTTGTTCGGGTGTAATTTTTTGATGAAATTTTATGAACATTTTTTATGAAGTGCATAGCATTCAAATAAAATTTTATGTTAAAGTTCAATTGGAAAGTTAGTTAATTAAATTATTGAAAGAAACTGTAATTTTCACCCCTCAATCATTTAAATTACCCCTGTACTATGAGTGTGAGAACAAATATACCCTTGTTCTATTTTTCGGAACAAATATATCCCTGAAGCATTTGTGAAAGTTCATATATATCCTTGAACTTTTTTAAAGGTACAAATATACCCCTCATATTCTTATAAAGGAGCAAATATACCCTTATTGACTTCGAAAAACACCAAACATAAATTATAAATTAAAAATTAAAAAATAAAATTTTAAAAATGTACTTGTGTCCAATTCTCCCTTTTATTGTTTGTAAATCACATTTAAATATTGTTATTATAAAATGTTATTTCAAAACATTACTATATATTTAAGATTTTTTCGAAAAAAGTGTTAACTTATGTTCGAAAAAGTGTTAATTTTTTTTGCATTCTTTGCACTATAAAATTACATATTTTGTATGATGATAAATAGTTCAAGATTACAAAATAGTGAATTTAATTTTATTAAGTTTAAACAAAATCAAAGAATGTTATTTTAAAAAATATAACAATGTGTTCAAAATTTCATAACAAGACTAAAAGTAATACTAGTATTAATGATTTAGCTTCATTTACAACGGAAAAATAAATATTTTGAAATTTAAAATTAAAGAATTAATATTTTAACACAATAATAAATCTTTATTTTTTAAATTTCGAATTTATATTTTATTTTTGGTTTTTTTGAAATTTATTTGATCTATTTAAAGTCAATAAGGGTAAATATGCGTCTTTATAAGAACATGAGTGGTATTTTTGCACTTTTTAAAAGTTCAGGGGTATATATGCACTTCAACATATACTTCGGGGGTATATTTGTTCCAAAAAATAGAATAAGGGTATATTTGTTCTCCCACCCATAGTGCAGGGGTATATTTGTACCTTCTCCCTTTAAATTTTGTCTTAAAACTATCTTAAGATTTTGTCTTTCCGATTGAATTTTAAATTGAAACTTTGTAGAAATAATCTAGACATCATAAAAAACATGTTAGCAAAAGTTCATCAAAAAATTCCAACCGAAAACCCCTCAAACAGACTTGGCTAGCACTACAAAAAAATTCGGTTGTAGTCACGGATTTAGTCACGGACCACAGTGTAAAAAATCCGTGACTAACTCATTTAGTCACGGATTCTGTCCGTGACTAATTCCGTGACTGTTTGGACGTGACTAAATTTAGTCACGTCAAATTGTCCGTGACTAAATGTAGTCACGGATTAGTCACGGACCAGATCCATGACTAATCTGTCACCGGAATAGCTGCTCCGGCACTTTAGTCACGGCTAAGATCCGTGACTACATTTTTTTAAATTTTTTTTATATTAGTCACGGACACGTCCGTGACTAAGTATTTTTTTTTAAAAAAACAATCGGCCATATTAGTCACGGAAATATCCGTGACTAAGTTTTCAAATTTTTGAAATTTTCAAAAACCCGCGTTTCCTTTCATTTGATGATTAAAATCCACTGTCTATTATAGTACCATAGTAGAAATATTAAAATTTATAATCCCATATAAGAGATTATAGTCCCACAATAAAAATAATTAACTAATCTCTTATGATTATTTATCAAATATTATATGATAAGAATCACTATTCAAGTATCATACTAAGTGTTTTTGATATATTATCATAAAAGTGGTGTATTGATATGATTAATTTATTGGTCCCATATTAGAAATAGGTAGTCTCTTATGATTATTTAATTTAAAATATTACTATGTACTACATATATGATAAAAAACATTACTCAAGTATCATACTTCCTCTGTTCTTTTTAGTTGCAACATTTTAATTTTCACCTTTGTCAATGCACAACTTTGACCATTAATATATTTAATTTCCTAAGTCTATTTTTTTAATTAAAATTTAGAAATTTAAAATGAGAAGAATTTAATTATATTTCTGAAAAAATAAAAGTTTAATGCATTAATGCATATAATGTAGTCAAAATTGAGCACGTGAATAGTGCAAAATTTCTAATGTATGTTACAACTATTTAACAACAAACACTACTAAAAATTCGAAAATAGCTACGAATATTTCTTGTGATTTTTTTTGTAGATAATAGTTGCATATTTTGTAACAAATTTTTGTATATCGGAGTTACCCCAAAAAGTTGCCGCCACTTCGATTATCCGTAACTAAATTCGTATGAAAGTAAATCTACACATTTAGTTGGACAAAATTGTTTCACATTTACTTACGAACTAGCACAGTACCCGTGCATACGCACGGGAAAAAACAGTTGGTCTATATATACTCTTATTCATGGTCTAATTAAATGTTAAAATAGATTTTTTTTTCTTACATTTTACATAATTTCAAAAATGGATACGAAAAGTGAGTATAAAAAGTATAAATCTTACAACAAAAATTCAAAGTAAAAGAAAATGAAAATATAAAAAAATCGACACCATCCATTAGAATTTGCTCCATAGTAATAATTAGTATTGTTAGTAACGGATAATGAAATATTGAACTTACTTGCTAGAGTTTTGGGTGACAATGTTTTATGAAACATAATTAGTATTATCCACGAGCATATTACCTATGAAACATAATTTATAGTAAAATTCGCAACAAACCTATTTACTTGCGAATTTTGAAGTAAAATTCGTAGCAAATGATATAGGTAAATAACATATTTTTAGTAGTGAAATGTAGTATTAGATAATTTGAAATAGTATCCTATATGTTTCAGAAAATGTTTCAGAATAAAGACCCATCTAATTTGTGGATGGAAATTTTGTGGTAAGACTATTGGTATGAAAATTGATTTAACTTTTGAAAATTAAATTAGAAATCTGGTCAAATCAAACAAGTGGCTTATCTGAAATCATTAGGTGGTGGTAGGGATGAACCGGTCATCTGTGCGAGACCGGTCTGGAAAATCATGATAATACTTGTAGTGGATCCACTCTCGTTAAGGGGACATCATGATAATTTCTTGGTGACTACTTATATGGCATGACACTATGTTTGTTTGAGGGGAGCAACTCACATGTTTGGAGAGTGACAACTCTAAACTGAGGTGGTCGTGGATGGTTGACTACTACGTAGTATACCTGAATTAAGTTGATCAGAGGACAATTGTTGGGGTCTCTCCTTAATTGGAGAAATTCAAGAGAATTCTAGATTTGAATAATATGAAGATGCCTAGAGTTCTCTAGATACGAATAAGGAAGTATAAAATATTCTAGAGTATTCTTAAACTTTGTAGAGAGGTGCATAGTTGTATAGAAACATGTGAAGGAACCTATAATAATTTCGAATGATGTTTAGATGGTTATAGATGTGTGGATTAGGGAATCTACAATAGTGATATAAGCTCCTGATTATGGAAGAGATTGGAGTTGTGTTTCCCCGACGTGATTTATCAATCGATTCAAAGTCTAGATCAGGACCGATTCTTTAGTTGGTTGTGGATAGAAAATTGATGTTTGAAAGCAAATAGAGTCCAAACATAATCTCATTCAATCCGGTACATGTGTAATTATGTTAGAACCAAATCATAAGAACCGATTTTGAATCTTCATCAAAACGTTGATTCGTTTTCTGGGGAATGAAGTGAATCATGTTCAATCTTACACATCAAACATTGAAAGGATTTGCACGAACTTGAAATGTAACAAAAAAAGTCTTAATAAAGTGATACTAATGGCATTTTTTGCCTTTTTAGTAAAAGGTAAAACTTATAAATGAGGCTTAAAATTATGTACATGTACATATGAGAATAATCCTAAACCAGCATCGATACATCAAACAAATCAACGTGAACAACTTCATCAAACAAAACCACACAATGAGAGTATATCGGTTGCAAAACAAGGGACTATTAGCGGGGTATAGTATATACAATACGCTGAACGCAATTTTTACTTGCGAAGTGATTTTTATGTAGTTGTATATTTTCATGCAAATTAAAAGGTGTGATGGATCGCCGACCCTGGGGTAATTGGAATCCAGGAAAAAGGAGAGACAGAAAGTGTTAAGTAAGATCAGGTAGAAATTTTAGTAGGGTAACAAGTTGGAAGGTGATATTTATACTAAGAGAGAAAATACTTGGCCAACAAGTAAAAAAATTGTTATTTTATTGCGGTGGTGACATGTGGCACATCTGTCTAACAGAATAAATGCACTAGTCTAATAGAATGGTCACACGTGTAAAAGGTGATTGGAAAGATAACTGCAACAAGTGGTTGATTGCCGTTGTACATAACTGAATTTGTCCTTTATTTACCAGAA